ATTCGTTACACTAAGCAGGGACTTTGGTCAGTGCTTAACGAGGACTTTGGTCAGTGCTTAGCGAGGGCATGGCCCGAGCCTCCATCATGGGTTCCAACCCTCACAAGTAGAATACTTTTAAAGGTAAATAAATTCTTACTTTCTAATTAGATAAATACTTATTATTATAGAAGTATCGAGACTATCTAGTATATTTACTATAAGATAGTATAAATATTACTTTCTAATAGTATATATAACTCTACTATTCTATAATCAGATTATGTATAAATACTTCTATAAATCGAACTTAATCCTAAGAATTATCCTTAGTTTAAAGATTACATTAGAGTAATTAACGGTACTTATATACCTATTATACTACGTACTAAAGAGAGATTCGCCTTTTAAGATAGACTAGGTAACTTATCTTAAAACGTACTAGCTATTTATATATTTAATATACGATTTACGTATATATTATCTAGGTAGGAGAGTAGTACCTCGGTGTCACGGGTCGAATGTCGCGATTCGGTTATTCTTCCTCGTGACTGCGGGACAAGTGGCTGCCTAAGCGAGCATGCATGTCCCACGCTTCAAAACAATGAAGGAAAACTCTTCAAGCAAACACGACAACACATCAAATCCCTCATCGTGGCGTGATAAGGGATGTGGGAGACGCGGGGGATAAGGAGCTGTTGGTTGTGTGGTGTTTCTGGCATAAGAACCTCGGGTTTTCTCCTCAGATAGCTCTTCTCTCCTTAGCTTTAGATTCTAAGTAGTGGAATAGCAGTATCCTTCACCGTTCCGTTACACTCGGACTTAACTTTATAAATATACACTATTCGTTTAGGAGTTATTCGAATTCTAAAGGGGAAATATATTCTAGGCGACTATAGCTTTCCTAGCTTACTAAAGTGTTTAGTACTATATTAAGGTATATAATACTATCTAAATAAGTAGAAACAAGTATCTATAAATAAACGAACCCCTAAGACTAAGGATGAACTCTTTAACTTATACTATACTATACTATAGAACGTTATTAAGCGTATATTTAGAGTTTTAAAGACTAAGTTTAAGATATTAAGAGTACCAAGGAGTTTTAAGATATAAGCTTAGGTATAAATTATTCCTACTTTATACGTTTTATATAATATACTTAGCTTAATTATAGGACCTAATTATATAGACGGAATTAAGCTAGACTTTAATAAGTATAATAAGTAAGATAATAGTAATAAAGATAATATTTTTATAGATAGAACCGGTTATTATACTAATCTATATACTAGAAGACTAGGAAATAAGATAAGAGAGTATATTATAACTACTACATAGGAGGTAGAAGTATAAAGGAGGTCTAGGTAGGGATAAACTATATATATATATATATATATATATCGTATATTACTAGTAGGGTATAAGAAGCGAACTATAAAGTAACGTTATATACTACCCTTATCTTTTTAATTAAAAGTAGTCTAATTTACTTAGTTTTTTATTTATTTAAAAGAGACTAACTTAATCAAAAGATTAATTTATAAAGATTAAAATTAAGTTTATCTATTAATATTATTATAATAAAGTAGAATATAAATGTTACGATTTATAATAGCTTACTTATTAATAATAATAACCTTGTAGCTAAGTTTTATAGAATAGTAGAATTATTATTATTAATTAAGTATAAAAATAGAATAAATAAAATATCTACCCCTAAACCTCTCTAAGGTTCGTCTAAATCTAATTCTAGTTCCTTTACTAGTATTATAATATATTCTTTTAAATAAGTAGCGTAACTATACTCTTTAAGTATAGATATAATCTAGGTTCTTTATAAGTTCTTATTACTATCTTTTATTATTAGATATTCTATTATAAACTCTAGTACTTAAAGAACCTTTATAATTATAATTATACTAGGATTAGTTAAAAATAGCTCGTCCTATACTTTTAAGAGCGCTTGTTTATATAAAGACTTATTTAATATATCTTTAGATATATCCTAATCTAGGGTAACGAAAATACTAGTAATTCTATTAATACTCTAGCTTATCTCCGAGAGGCTCTCTAGTCCTAAAAGTCTTATCCTTTTAATTAGTAGTAGATTCTTTAATAAAGCTTGTTTATTTAACTTTTATCATTTAGGTAGATTTATTAATTAAGTAGACTCTTATTATATACTTAGTAGAGTCTCCTTTACTTTACTCTTACCTTTGTCCTTTAAGCCTAACTTTTTAGACTACTTTTACACGCTAGTATAAACCTTACTATCTTTACTACTATAGTATACCTTATATATATTAATTTCGGCGGTAAGTTATTATACTTATTCTATAGTAATAGAGTTACTAATATTCTTTATATAATTAAGAGTAGGATTAACTATAAAACCTACTTATTCTAGTATCGAATTATCTATAGTTTTAGGATCTGTTATATCGGAACTTATTGGGTTGAAAGGGTATTGGGTACTGAAGGTCATGGAGAATTGATTGCATTGTAAAAGGTAGCTATCTAAGGTGTTTATATAAAGAGTGTAAGATTTAAGCAGACATGAAGCATTTAGGCAGCAGAGCTATAAGTGGATCAAATCAGGAAGTGGAGCAAAAGAGAAAGTAGACCCAGCACAACAGAACTTATATCGTTATTATTTATATCCTTACTAATTTCGTTATTAGTAGACTCTTCTTAATTAGAGTTAATATAATCGTTATTATCTCCTCCGCCTTTAGAATAGCTATATTTACTACTAGTGTAACGAATACTCAAACTGGCTAACTAAACTTGGCTGGGTGTTCGCTGGTTGGTATGCTATGATAAGAAGAAGACTATCGGGTTGTTCACTTGGAAGTGAACTCGTTACTTGTATCAAAGATGTCAAACTAATATGATAAGATTGATAACTAAGTTGAGCACGAAGCTCCTGTCTAATGGCAGAAGTGCCAGTTTATATAGAACCTTGGATCACTTGGATCACTACAATAACTCGCTGATCCTGATGATCCCCGGATCCCCTGGATCACTTGGATCACTCCATGATCNTGGAAGTGAACTCGTTACTTGTATCAAAGATGTCAAACTAATATGATAAGATTGATAACTAAGTTGAGCACGAAGCTCCTGTCTAATGGCAGAAGTGCCAGTTTATATAGAACCTTGGATCACTTGGATCACTACAATAACTCGCTGATCCTGATGATCCCCGGATCCCCTGGATCACTTGGATCACTCCATGATCCTCATGATCCTAATGATCCAATCACGTGATAACAAACTCTAAGAATCCTTGGATCGCTTAGCTACTCCAAACGATCCCTATTTGCTATAAGAAACCTGGACGTGCCTATCGAGGATTGCGCCTCTTATTATGACAAGTATCACGTGAGCACGTGATTCGTGACAACTAGCTACCTTACTACGATTAAGCTCTACTAAGGTATAATAATAAGGGAAACTCTTCTTCTACTATAGTTTTGCTTCTAGGTGCTTCTATAATTATATTAGATTAGTTAATAAATTAAAGGAGTAATACTTTACTATAATATAATTAGCCTATATAGGTAGATCCGCGGTTATAATAGAGCGTTCGTTATCTTATCTAAAACTAGAATTCTTATATAAAGTATATATAATTTTAAACTCCCTTTATAAATACCTATATTTAGATTAACAAGTACGACCTTGTTTTAGTTGCTTATATCGTTTACCAAGAGTATTCTATAGTTATTTAAAAAAGTTACCCTCTACTACTTCGCCGTCTTCTCCCTCCTTTTATATAAACTCTAGGAGGGCGAATATATTATCTTCTGTCTATTTAGAATGAACCCTCTTTTAAGAGCTATTAGTACCTTGTATAGCTTAAGTCGGTTACGTTAAAGGTAGTAATTATAACAAGTCTTAGGAGCTACTAGGTAGTATAGGATTCTAGGTTTTCTTTTTATATAGTATATTATATATATGTATATATAAAATAGTTTAAGAATAAGAGTTAAAGAGATAAAAGAAGGAGGAGGGAGAGTAATTACTTAGTTAAGTCCTTAGATTAATAGAACTAACTAAATCCTAGTAGTAGACTAAATCTTAGTAGTGTGACGACACGTACGATGTGTTGCTCAAGGAACCTCCAAGGTGTAGGTTATGGAATTGTAGAACTGTCTATTCGAAGATTCTAAGCTGAGGAGAAGAGGAGAGCTCGAGAGAGCTTGAGTCTAAATACAATGTGGCTTGCTAAGGAAGCCACGTGATATGAATGGCACGTGACGGTCAGAACCGTCACAAGTAGTACCGAAAGCGCTAATAAAAATCGTCGAATATATAACAATTTAAAAAAAAAACTTTTATAGCGAGCTAAATAGTAGTATATATGTTTTGTTAGATTAGTATAAATTATGTATAAATTAGGAACCTTTTATATAAGCTCTTAGGTCCTAGGACGTATACAAAAGTTTATAATTTGTACTACATTTACACGAATTAAATTCGCGAGCTAAACGGGCCCTAAACCTACTAAATTTCTAGATAGAATTCTTAATTTTTTAGAGGGATTTTTAGATTTATAAGGAGTAATAATAAGGATTAGAATCCTAGTTTTTACGGTTTTTGTTTAGCGTATAGTTCTTAGGTATAAGGTATTTATATAAGTAGTAGATAAGTACTAGAGGTAAATCTACTAGACTATAGTAAAAGTATGAATTTCTTTATTTCTAATTTTGTTTCTCGTAGAAAGTTTATATATTAGATTTAGAACTTGTTAGTACTTAAATACAATCAAAACATCAAAGTCATGATTTTCATTAGAGTGCATGCGCGAAGACTTTGTCTCTGTTACAATATATCTCGAATAACATTTGTCTCTTATTAACACTACACTTTATCAAATCCAAGTATGCCAAAAATCCATAAATCATAAAAGACACCATGAGTCCATGACACATACTCAACCAAAAAATCAAGAAACATTCTTCATTTCCCCATATATTTATACACATCCAACTCCCAACATCGGGGGTATCAATCCCGTAACTCATTTCATCCCAATCACTCATCCTCATGCCTTGCCAAATGCAAAAAAAACAAGGCTTTTCATATCTCATACAAATTTCCAGCTCCATGGAATCGAAAGATAAATACTAATAAAACCCAAAAAGATAAAAAAAACATGACAATAGAATAGAAACCGCTCTACCGGCCGAAGATCCTCTTTTCAACCGTCCTCATGATACAATAAGAAATGGAAGAAAAGGTAAATGCAAGCTCGAATCCAATATCGCCTCCAAATTCGGCACCGCAGAGTTTACCGATGGGACCGGTAAACCACTAAACTCGTTAGCTTGCTGTTTGATAGGGGATAGGGGAGGGTGCCACTTACAACTTGCGCCATACCCAAGATCGCACCCATAGCACCAAAGCAGAAAGCAGCAATAGCCGCGATTCCCGGCGGTAACTTACTAGGTTCCAAATAATTCGCTGGTTCATAACCACCGAATCCTCGCTTGAAGAAAATATGTTCCGAAATGGAGATACCTTCGTAGATAGCCAACCAATACCCAATAACCAACATGAAGTTTTCAAGGATACTTTCGAAATGGTCGTATCCTGGGATGGCGATGGCAACATAAACGCAAGTTCCAACAAAGGTCCAGAGGAAACGGGGCACGCGCTGTGAAGCTCGAGCGAGGAGTTGGAGACTTAGTGATACCGAGTAGATGTTAGGACAGTTGTTGGCTATGATGGAGAGGGCCAGGATGACAAGACAGAATTGTCCGAATTTGCCGAGAGGTGGAACCATGACTGCAGCGAGCAGACCACCGATTCCCGAGCTGTGATATCCTTCCATGTATGGGTTTTCTCCACCGTCGATTGACATTGCTGTTGCAACAGCGGCGCCTAGCATTTGGGTGAACAGTAGAGGGAAAGAGAGGCCTGCGAATGTCCAGAGGAAGATCGACTTTCGAGAGCGGCCTACTGGTTGGTAAACGGTGTAGTCAGCAGCGTAAGAGGTCCATCCGGTTGCGAATCCATAAACTGATGCTGCAAAGGAGAGGGCAGCTCCAGCTTCGGATTTTCCAACGCCCATGGGAATATTCTGGAAGTGTCCAGAGTGGGCGAACTCTCCCAAGACGATCAAGAATATTATGAAACATGGAATCCATGAATATCTCTCGTAAGTGTGCACAATCTTGTAGCCGAAGAGAGTAATCAAGAATGTCGAAACTGCAATAACAAGGATCCCGGCCCAACCAGGCATATTACCATTGACAGCATTAAAGAGCTGAGCGCCAACAATTACATTGACGGAAGACCATCCGATACAAGCTAATACATTGAATACGGCAACTTTGAGGAGTCAGTGGTGGGGTTCTCATCGAGAATGATTGAGCACTTACTAATTTTCACGCCGTACCATCCAAAATAGAATCTACTCAAAACCATCTGCCTCAAGCCAAAGCGAGGCCCAAAGGTCGAGAAAAAACAAACAGGAACAATTCCCAAAATGTTAACGAAAAAGATGATTAATATCGTATCGATGAAGCCAAGAAAGAAGACGGGATATGCTAGTGCTCCAATTGCAAAAGAGGAAACGACCATATTGGCGGATAACCACTGCCATCCAGTCAATTGCGAATTCGATCGCACCACAATCTTAGGAAATCATACCAAAGTGCCAATTTGCGACATTCCTGCGTCGGTCCGCTCATCGCTAGGCACACGTTCAATGCCTCGCTGCTCGACACCGAATTTGCCTGCAAGTCTTTGTGCTCGAGCATAAAAGCTATCTCCAATAACAAAGTTTTCCGCTGGGACAGCTCCATCGTCTGCAACAAACTCCCCGCTGTCATTCTCGTTGGTAGATTTCTTCTCCGTTGACAATGCTTCGATATCGTCGACCTTGTTGTTTTTGGTAAACGGACCCATCTTGGGCGGGAATTTGGCAGAGGACCCTCGAAAAATGGGATATATGTAAGTTTTCCGGATTTCCCCTCCACAGTTGAAGCCGAGATCTTCTCGTATGCTTACTTGAAGGGTCTATACTACCGCAATTGCTCGACGAATGAATCTGAGAGGGTCAAATCGAAGTATATATGGTAAGGGAAACTTGCCAGTGGCAAGCATGAAAGTGATTTCCGACAAGGATAGTTCTATGCGCGGCCGGCCAGCGGACGATACCGATCAATCAGTTCGGCGAATGGAGCTGGTGGAGTGCACCGTGAAAACAGCCACAGCCAATAATGAAAGCCTCTCGACCTGCAAGGATGTTTGGAATCCTGATATGGGACCGATAAGGAATATGAGGAGTGGGGACGTCGTGATTTCGTTTCCGTCATTCAGAATAGCCAAAAAGAAGAGATAAGGAGAAGCACGTAAGATTATATCAATCCAAGGAAGTAACTATTCCCAACTCTGGGGACGGTGACTCTGCTTATATGGAGAAGTTTTTGTCGTATCATGAAAGCAAACTGTTTGGGATTCCATGATGAGGAGATTCGTTGCACCCGTCGGGGGTATTGGGTACCCTACAGTACATCATCCCGATAAGCATTCAGAGTGATACGCCACCGGCGGATGTGTCTCTTTGATTTGAAAACCAATTGCTTGTTTGACGGGTCGAAAGCTTAAGCCAGCTCAGGTTCCACTGGTTTTGGACCTCATTCTCTCTCACATTTTCGATAGTGCATGTGTTGCCTCTTCGTACCTACAGTAGAGAACTGCAAGTCATCGGTGGATGAATGTTGAATTTGGCACTGACAGGAGAGGCCAGGCTCATGAGGTGACACTAGAAAGAGTACATACATGCTGGCGAATTCGGCAGTGATCGGAAGCGGTAAGATGAAGCACGATGTCTGGGCCTGGAGAACCTCTCATTAGGTAGGTATCACCCCCTCTATCTTGAAGTTCCAATTGGGGTCTCAATCCCACGTGCTTCGCTGCTTCCATGGAATCCGAGCCTCAGAACTTCCATGGTTCTGTCACACAGAGTCGATTCAGATTGGTGACAGGTGGGAATGGATGCTGAATGCCTTCGGAAGGTGCAGTGCAGTGCAGTTTCGACAACTTTGAAACAATGGAGAGATACATCACGAACCATTACTAAATTTTTGAGGTTCCGTGACGAACAGATCAGAAGATGGGAGGTCGTCAAAGGTGCAAAAAGCAAGTTCCCCCCAGTTTTATGCAAGCCAATGACAGCGGGTCCTCGCGTCAAGCTGCCTTGCTTTTCTCTCGCTTACTGGACAAGGTTAAGGTTCTTGCCTACTGTAGATCATTCGCTACAGTAATACCCCGCGCTCACTTCAATATTTCTTTGCTTTTTCGCTCAGCTTCCTTTCAATAATGAAGCTTGGTACCAGAACCCTTCCATAAAATGCTTGATTTGTTGTTCTTCTCCCCGGTAAAATCCACTTCCCAAAGGCCGGCTCCCGCCTGCCGAGCAGAAGAGAACCGCAGCGGATACGTGCGGATTCATCTTGGCAACGCCCCGTACATTCTGCTCCATAGATCGTTGGCACCTCTTCTTGTGCATGAAAACTACTACAACGTTCATCAATGAACGAAAAGAGATGCGTTGGGAAGCTTACACGGTGATGCCTCACCAGCCACATCTACTTTCAGTGTTCAGACGATGTCATAAATTACTTCAAGATATCATTACCATCAATCGCTTCTCACGTCCCATAATACCAATGATTAATCCGAGCTTTTCAATAGCTTCCTCGGGTTCCTCAGACCGAGAGCCCTATGTTGACGTCGAGTTGTCGAGTAGCACCTCGGCCTCGCCCGAGATGGCTTCCTCCAGTGTCACAAAATCCTAGAAGATAGAAATGAAAATACATATTCCATGCTTCTCTCCAAATAACAGCCACTTTTCACTCGTTCCTAGATCTATGTGCATTCATTCCGACGGGATCGATGTTGACGGATGTCAATCATATCCCTGACCTGTTCCACGAACAAGCCAAAGTCTTTGGTACTACCGGGTTTCTTTTTGCTTCTCTACATTATTGGCAGCTTATATTCTCCATTTGGCATTAGCTGAGGATTTGTTCGAAAATTGAATTCTACCGTCAAAAAATAGGGGAGCTCGCATTACATCCCTCGACACAAGCTTCAGTCGAGTCCACACAATTTCGGTTGAATAACCCTACTTTGTGGAGACTTGTACGACCACTGTACCTTTCCGTGACAGCTGAGACACTGGCATGCCACTGCACATGTAAACCTCTCACAAAAGGTTATAATGTGACCATCTCGTGAGCACCGCATGGGATGCGGTGGCAGTGCGATGAGCGCCTTGAAACGGTTTGATAGGGAGGCGATGGTCCCACGACTGAGTAGAACTTGGCTCACCACAGGTTTACCGGTCTGGCATCTTTCATTGTGTAGCTCCCGGCTCACGACTGCCTCTAGCCAATATGTCGTGATTTCTGTTTTAAGCGTGGCGCTGAGTGAAAAATGACGAGTTGCATTTGCTCTCGCTGGATCACTCGTGTAAAGGTGGTCAAGAGAGAGACATTAAAGCTTGTCTACCAATTTGTGTTCAACCACGATAATGGGTTGACTAAAACGCTCTCGATTCTCCTTAACTGGACTTCATTCTCCTCTATGAAGCGTCAAAAGTTAGCCTGGTAAATTGCGATTAATCGGTGTGGGTGAGGTAGAGTAGGGTTAGCAAAGAATCCTAAATCGTACATCAGTTGTTTTGATCGCATTTCCCTCGGGGTTTAATAGACCCCCAGAAGGAGTTCTACTACCAAGTATAGAAAGAAACTTGGGTTCAACCCTTAGCTTGCTTGGTTTCGAAAAATGAACCCTTATTGCCCTCCCGTCTTCTGCGGGTTAGGCCTAGTCAGGATTAGCGGAGGTTTTGGGTTAGGGTTCGCCTTCTCCTATAAAGGAGGAATTAAAAAAAATCTGTAGGGTTTTATTTACCCTGTTTGAAGCGCGTTTCCCCTGGAGCCAAGTGGACGTTATGTGAGTATCGAATTCCCTTGTTCCGGTCTTCATAGGGCGTCCAGTTCTCACTAGGAAACTAGAGATGGGGAGTTGACAGACCAATCACGGTGATTGTCACATCTTAGCTACTCTGAGTGAAGAACATGCGTCTATTACATTCGACCTACACCGTAGGTGGATATTCTTGCATGAAGTTGCAACATAGGAGCGGACTAGAGAGTGAATGCAAGAGTGCGGTAAGCATATTGCAGCCCTGATTGGTTTGTTGATACACTCTCAGTACCAGATTGCATCTGCTACCCGCGTTTAAGGATAGTATTTCAACCGAAACCCCACATCGTGCAAAGCCCGTCAACGCTGAACGATAACTGTTAAATGCCAGTCACGGAGCTATTATATTGCTTACTAACAAGCCAATGCCATATAGCGATAGTGATTCTCCTATAGCGCCCGTGAGTTGCGTGGGAGCTCACGGGAACAACCTTAGTAGTGAATACCAAGAGATGTTAGGGATCAGCTTGCGAACAGACTGAGATCTCCAGCTCAGTGCGCGAATGTGTGCGCATGTATATCTGGATACACAGGTGAGTAAGACCTGAGGACTCAGTTGTTTTAGAATTAAGCGAGGTTGGATCGGCAACTCATGCAATCGAAGTCTGCCACGCTACGACTGCACTACTCCGCCTAACTTAAAACGGTAATGACTTTCTTATTCTACATTAAGTGTGTGTGCCTGCTCCGCTTTTGTTCTTATTCACTATGGCCTAGCCCCACTTTTTTGTTAGTGGATAACCATAGCCTAGTACCATACTTCGTAAGCTAATTCTTCAAAGTAGACTTCTTTCTACTATCAAGTTACATTACCGAGTAGGGGATTAGAGTAGTACTTGTAGCTTTTTATATTGGGATCGGTGAGAGTGGGTGGTCTTTTGGGTGTGTGAATTAGGCTTAGGTGTTAAATCGACGAAGGTGATTAATACTATCCAAAATCGACCAGAAGACATAAATTGTTCTAAACCAAAATACAGTTTAGGAACGTACAGATATTATACTAGTACCTCGTTAGTTAGTAAGATCTTATACCTGATATTATTGATGGTAGGTATGATACTATTTTATCTGCTCTAATTATTTCTCACTTCTACTGAAAATACCCAAGGTATTTATTGGTTAGTTAATGATTTGAGTGAGTTGGTAAAGGTTTGGGTTTAATCAAAGTGTAGCAAAGGAAAGGATATACAAGTTATGGTGGAATACTACGGTATAATATATAGAGTAGCGTTTCTGTACTGGAAGGAGTGGAAGTACTTGGAGTTCTTTGCTTTTCGTTGGTATTTGGTGGTTTGTCTTGCTTTATTACGTTCTTTTATTTTATGGGATTTTTAGGAGGGGCAAGATCTTCTAAAGTTGGCTCTAGAGGGCAGAGCGTAGAGTATAGACGGGGAGGTAGCTTGAATGTGGTTCTAATATAGAGTAGTATGTGCATTACATGTAGTATTTACCTCTTGCATAATATATTATATTCCTTGTTCAATACCTACTACCTGAACTTGTTACACGTCTTGAAAAAGCTACGAGAAAGCTACGAAAATGTGTGTTGGGGAGGGGGTTGATCTGTTGGCTACTGTCCTTGTCCGGTCCCTTCGGCTGTGGTGGGGTGGTTGTATTGGTTTGATCGAGAGAAACACAGATTTTTGGCATTACTATATTATAGAAGGGGTAGGATTTGTGGGAGGAAGCTGGTTTAGAGGGAGGTGGGGAGGGAGATGTGTTATAAGGTGTGGATGATTAAATTGGTTTTATGATAGAATCTTGGGATATGTTTTTGGGTGCGATTTGGAGGACACTTATGATTTTATTGTTGTTTTTGCGTTCTTATTCTGTGTGGTTTGGTAAGATCTTACATGTTCTCTTTTCTGTCTGTACTAATATCTTCTTGGTATGTTGTTTTGGTTTTGAAGGGGGGGTAAGAGTAGATTTGAAGAATGTGGGATTCGGCGATTGGGTGGTACTTGGTTGTAAGAGATTTTGTTTCAAGATACACATGCGAAGAATGACGATATGCTGAGGGATGGCATAACTATGTCGATTTACGGATTGTTCGGGGTGATTTGGTTTCCTGATGACTTGTTAGTTTCAACCGCTTAAGTGCTTTAGGATAAGAAGTCAGTTGTTCTATGATCTGGTAATACTTGTATGATTCATCTTGTTCGTGCGCGCGATATAATTGTGGGTGTGCGGGATCATAAATCAAAGGTTAAAGGTACTCGATAGGTCTTTGAGTTCAAGTGGTGTCGTATTATACATGGAACGCCGAACGACGCCAGTTCTATAGACTTGGTTCAGACTACTCAGTTGTATAAGGAAATTTATTTCAATGGTTTAATAACATAATCACAATTCAGGTCTCAAATTCATGCCAGGGGTTTATGCTTAATATTCTTGATTCTCTCGTCATCTAGTCCAGCTTATGTACTAAGATTATCCTCAGGATAACTTGACTGCTGTAGCCTTATGAAAAGTCCCAGACATAAACTAGTAAATGCCCCACGACAAGTTCTGACTGTAAAGAAAAAAGAAATGGTGATACTCTTTCCGCCATGTACATGCATTAATACTCCCTCGAGCCACCGCCCGTACTCCGCAACAACACGATTGAAGAAACAAAGGGGAAAAGAGATACAAATTGTCAATGCTTATGCCACGAGACACCCTCAACTGATCGCGTCGTTACTTGATATAGTTGGGTTACCGGCAGCAGTTTGAGTAATCTCTGGTGGTAGAGAAGGGTTGCCTTAGCCGGTTTTCGATGCATCTGCTTCTTCTTTAGTCGCCGTAGTCAACTTTGAAGTCTCCTCATCATGCCCCTCACTCAACTCAATTCCAAATGGTCCAAATGGTCCAAATGGTTGTCCATTGTTAAGGCCAGATATCTTTGGTTGAGGATGATCAAATAAATTCTTGTCCTTCATTGATCTTCTAAGATGCAGAGCAGCACCTTCGACGGAAGAACCGTTTACAAAATTGATAAAATAACCAGTGCTGTCAACATAACCTTGCGTTGGGCGATATTCGTAGACCAGTTCAAGGAACAGGAAAAGACGATCTCCTCGGACGCGATGGTATTCTTTGGATATATGAATATGGTACATGTGCGGAGAGCGTTGAGCAAAGAAGAGGCCGGGGAAAAGACTTGGACCTGGATTCTTGGTCTGAAAAGATTTCTCGAACTTGGGGTCATCGAGCGGGTCCAAAGATGGCGATGCGGTGATGTTACGCTCGGCATGGGCACATTGATTCGGAACCTTGAATGGTTATTAAGACTCATCAATAGAGAACCAAACGAGTTCACTTACATTGTCGGGCTTGAATGCGTGAGAGGTGGAAAGCAAATTGAGGTTCAACGGATTACCAAAAACTTCCACTTTGGCCTTCTTCTGAGATTAGAGGTTAACTCTCTATAACTAGAATGTTTGAGAGGTAATATCTTACTTGGGGAGGTTTTTCGACGTCCGATTCATTAGTATTGCCACTACTCAATGAATGAAAGTCGTAGTAGCGCGAAAGATTAGGAGCAATTGGTTCTGGTCGGTTGTCACCCTTAATCAGACGTTCCTTCAATTTATCCACATATTCGGTGCAGGCATCCTCGACCTTCTTGCGGGCTTTGAGTAGTTCTTTGTCAAAGGCTTTCTTCTGGCTGTCGTAGAATCTGATAGTTGTATTGCTAAGGATGTCGAAGTGATCTATGACGAATTCTTTATCGGAAATCATTCTGGCGAATCTCCCCCGACAGTGTGGATCATTGCTATCGTCAAGTAGTTCTGCTTCATATGCCGCAATTCTTCGCTTGTATTCTTCGCACAGGACTTTGCCCACTAGTGTTGGTTTGTTGTCTCTTTTGCTATAGCTTACATTGTATTTCTTCAACTGATTGCGGACAGCCTGGACGCTATTATTTTGCCACTGAGTCTGGTAGTAGACCTTGTCTTTCTCCATGATGTGCGTGATACGAAGAGCAGATACAGGCTGCAAAGGTTGGGGAGAAGTGTGCTGTCATGCAGCTTGGGGGAGGTGGCAGGAGGAGCGTAGGAGGAGGTGGGTGCAGGACTTGAATGTTGTCGGAATAATCAAAGATATAATAAGTCTAGCGTCCATTTAATTAAACATGACCCCTGTCTATACACCCTCTACCCCGCACTTCCTGAGTCACGCCGGAGCGGAGGGAAGTGCTATTCACTAAACATATTCCCTAGTAGTGGCTTCAAAATGTTAGTATTCACCTACAGTTACTTACCCTGCTTGTTGTGGTGGAGTCCTAGAGTAAATCAGGCAACTACTACATGATTACCACGTAGAAGGAATTACTACGGCTCTAATATCGGTGATGTTCTCATTACTATAGATATGCTGTTACGAGGAGTCGAGTCCGAGGTAAATAGTGAATGATTATTAGGCATCTAGCCATTTGAGCCTAGCTTGCTCCGCTCTTTCGGGACTAGCGTACAATGGCATCTATAAGTACCCAAGGACTCAACTAGGTACACTTGCTTGGGCATGCAACATAGAGCTTATTAGTTAGTATACAGATGATATAGGTCTTTTGTATCACCCATTTGACGATAAGTCAAACCAACATCAAGATAGTCTCTTATTTATAGAGAAAGCCATAGAATGGGGATTAAATATGTGTTATTCGAAGGTAGGTAAAATACTTGTAGCTATTTCTAATAGAGTACTAGGTTTTATACAGTGGTAATTAACTAGCATTATATTTATACCACCTTAGTAAAATCCTTAGGATTTGAAAAAACTAACAAAACTAGAAGACTTACCCCTGAAATGTGATAGGCGATACTATCTTATCATAATACACTAGAAAACGATAGTAGATTAACCTCTATCTTTGAATTTCAGACTATTAACTCGATTAACGAAGATATTGAAAATAATTAGATAGTTGTGTTCAAACGTTCAATGAGTTATTTCCAATGATTCTATTACTTACTAGAGGACATTCGCGGATTTTCCCTGCATTTTACTTGATTTACAGTACCTTAATTTTCGTTTCGCTTAATCCCTCTCTTGTGCCAACGAATAGAAGGACAATTGGGTAATATTATCTTATTCATAAACCCTCTACACAAGGTGTGTTTCAACACGAGCACTCTCGGCTCTACTGTCTGGCACTATCTGTTACTAGCATATTTCATGGAAGGCGCTAGTCCTATCCTGGACACCTCCAGGCCGACAGACAGCTTCTATATTAGAGATGAGAGCTCCGCTTTCTCCTAGCTAGCTTCTCTCTGTATTCCAGCTTTCTATTGCGCATTGTGCCCTCGTCTTCTGACAAGGTGCATATATAAAGATTTTCCCAAACAAAGCAAACATCACATCTCAGCAGAAACATCTACAACTCTCTCAGAACCACAAAGATCCTTTCCTTCCAGTAATCAACACCTAGATCTCAACCCTTCATTAGATACCCAGTATGATTTTCCATTTAAACGATTCAACACCTAGATCTCAACCCTTCCTTAGATACCCAGTATGATTTTCCATTTAAACGATTCAACACCGAAGTTCATGCAGAAAATTTAAGGAGCAAAATCCACAAATCCCAGAACCACTTTATAGAACCGATACATGATTAAAATAAGCTAATAAATCATAAGATCCTAGGAGAAATATATCGAAAGTAAAACCATATACTAATTCGGCTTTTTCCTTTCCTTATATCAAACTATTTGTAACCATATCTTCACATCTAAAAATATGCAAAGATATCTCATAGTAGATAAGCGTCTTTTTGACTTTGTCAGACATAACACTTTCTCTACTTCAAGGCTAAAGGCCCAAATTCAGACCTTCTGTACTCACTCTTTCTATTCACCCCAACTCAAATTCAACAAATAATTTCCCAGTTCCAGAGTCCAAGCCAGAGAGATCTAGAGGAATATGTGATATATACATCATATTATCATACTCTACTCGCATGTATCTTCAACAAACAACCCCACTTCCACCTCCCAAACCATCACCATATCAATCTATCAGAACACATCACATCACATTACATTATACATCCATCACATCCATCACATCACCAAACTCTAAACCATTTCCAACCCACGAAGCTCCTAAAACATTGCACCTTACGTTTACATCTTTACACCCGTTTACGTCTGTTAAATTAACAGCTGGGCATAGACAAAGATGGGCGGCGGGCGGAATAAGCTGTGAAGTGGCTATCGGAGCGCGGGTTATATTAACTTATTAAGCGCAAGAATCCCACCCGTCCATGCAAAGAAAATCCGAATCTCCCTGGTCTCTTCATACCTAATACACATCGAACCCCACCCTGGTTGTATTTTCCAAAACCCCAATAAACCATCCCATCTCGTCCCGCATAGTCCCCCTCCCTTTCACACTCCAAGAACTTAAGCGAGTCCAGTCACCCCACCTCACCTCACCTCATCATACCCTCCATCAATCCTCCTCCCCCACCCCCAAAAAACCACAAACGCAAAAAAACCCGACAAAAAGACCAGAAGACCGAGATATTCAAGTAGAAATTTCATGTATTCATCATCCTCTATCAACCACTAAAAATCTACATATTCCCATTCCTCCCATTCCTTCCACACCTTCTACCCACCACTACCCATCCTCATGCCTGCCCCTCACCATCTTATTAAATCCCCGCAGCAAAACAAGAGAGAACCCAAGTTTCATCAGGGTCCCCTCGGAGATTCTATGTCCTCGCAACCAAAAAGAGAAAGGTGTATGTACGAGTGGGAGAGCAAGAATCTCGCTTCAAACCCGCCAGTGTATGCACGCTCGCGCTCGCATTTTTCGGATTTTCAGCAGAAAACATCAAAAAAAAGACAAAAGGAGAACGCCGACCCCCATTCAAATAAAAAACTCCAATTGACTAATACTAATGTATGAGTCACCTGTATATGTTCACGTTCTCACAAATCCGCGTGGATGTAGAATCCATGCTACCTCGCAGCTCGCGCAACGGCTGCTTGCGACATGGTCAAGCTTGATGGGACGGCAGAAAGTGGAGCAGGTGTGTTGCTTCTTGTCGCTGGTGCGCTTCGGTTGTGAGCCATGTGACTCTTGACGAGGTGACCGGCTGCCAAAGCACTGCATAATGAGAGTTCACCAGCCAATACACCGGCAGCAACGATACGTGCAAGTTTGCGTGCATTATCACCTGGGTTTGTTGGATGGGAACCACGGACACCGAGCATGTCGAGCATAGCGCTTTGTGGTTCGAGAATGGTGCCACCTCCAATGGTACCAACTTCAATCGAAGGCATGGAAACGCTGATTTGAAGGTTTCCGCGCAAGCTAAATAATACGTTAGAAAGGATTCAATGAAAGACCAGGATTAATAAAACTTACTTTTTCATGAGCGTAATACAGTTACTGCTCTCAACATTCTGTGCGGGATCTTGACCGGTTGCTAAGAAAATCGCAGTGACGATGTTGGCAGCTTGAGCGTTGAAACCACCGATACTTCCAGCCATAGCACTGCCGACAAGATTCTTTGCAATGTTCAATTCCACCATTGAGTCGACATCAGTCTTGAGCACCTTTCGGACGACTTCTCCAGGAATGATGGCTTCGGCCACAATACTCTTTCCACGACCGTCGATCCAGTTGATAGCAGCGGGTTTCTTGTCAGTACAGAAATTACCAGAAACTGAAATGATGTCCATGTCGTCGAATCCACTATCAGCCATAACGCTTAAAGCATATTCGACACCTTTGGAGATCATGTTCATTCCCATAGCGTCACCAGTTGTTGTCTTGAAACGAGGATAGAGATAAGTTCCGGCAAGAGCAGTCTTGATTGATTGCAATCGAGCGAATCTGCTGGTGGAGTTGAAAGCCTTGGTCATAATCGCTTGACCGACTTCGGAATCAATCCAGTTTTTAGCAGCGCCAGCTCTTTCCAAAGTCTCAAAGGCAACACAAGGACCTCGAGTCATTCCATCGCCAGTGACAACAGTAATGGCGCCGCCACCAGAATTGATAGCTTTACAACCACGACTGACACTAGCTACAAGAACACCTTCAGTAGTGGCCATTGGCAAGAAGAAACTCTGACCGTCAATTACGATAGGTCCAGCGACACCGAGAGGCAGTGGCATATAGCCGATAACATTTTCGCAGCAGGCTCCCAAGACACGGTCATAATCGTAGTGCTCATATGGCAATTTTGATGCTTCCAAAAGGCTGGTGGTCTCGGCAGTAGCAGCAGTTCGTGAGATGATCGCTCTTCTGATTTTGACGGCTCTGGTACAATCTTTGAGCTTTCTTTCGAGCGAGTAACCGGGTATTTTGCCCTGCATAGAAAGTTCGATGACCTCCTTGTCAGAAAGCTCAGGATGTCGGTTTTCCTGGACCATTTGTTCCATCTGAGCTTGAGTTCGGCGCATGACTTGGGAATCGGAGGCAACTTGAGGTTTTCGCATGGTGAGTACATCATCCTCATCATCTGTCGTTGCAGGTGTTGGAGGCGCAGCTTGAGTTGGAATAGTTGAGTCTGGGTCAATAGAAGGGAGCTTCAATGTTGGAATGGAAGTAGAGTTGTTGAACTTCTCAGCTTGGTCGAGCTCTTTAGCATCCACTGCATGGTGAGGGGGCATTTGGAGAGGCTCTTTGATGCTCCATCGTGCTGCGTTGAAGAGATAGCCATTGAGAATTACACTCAATGCCAGTGCGACCACAATCCACTTTGACAATATAGGATCCTCCAAACTTTTGAGAACACCATCAACGACACGGCCACCCATGCTGTACTCACCAAGTTCTTCATCATCTTGACCATAAAGAGAATTGCCCTTGCTTCCCTTGGATGGAATAGCGTAATGTACAGATGGGTACTCGAGCTCGTATTTGATTGGTGTAAGAATCGTGACTACTGTATACTTGTCATGGGACTTTGCCGACGCATAGATATGGTCCAGTCCATTTGAAGCAACTTTAAAAGGGTCCATAGGCGGCGAGGTTACAACACTCGGAAGTCCATTTCCAGCAAGCCCAGTCACAGGCGCAGCATTCGTGTTCTTCGAACCTCGGAAGGGGATGGTACAGATGTTGAGGATGTTGATGATGAGGAAACCTCCAACCATCAAAACCTTGAATTTTGGAATACTACCATCTCGGACTTTGCGGCCAAAGATGGTGGTTTCGCGGTTGCCGGAGGCATCATCAGCTTTAGGCCAATCATCACTCTGAGCAACATTTTCAGCGACCCTTCTATTAACTCCGTCATCTTCCAATGCTTGGCGAAGAGCCACGTGACGCTTGATGCGGTTGATTTCTAGCTTAATGCTTAAGATGGCCGTGTAGAAAGTAAACAAAAGAAGGCAATCGAAGAAGAGAATCCATGCAGCCAAGAAGCAGAATTGTTGAAGACCACCTTGGACACCTGATGCAGCACCGGCTACCAAAATACAAATCTCGACGGCATAATCTCTGACGATTTCGAATCCTTTCTCTCCAATAGCTACCTGAACGGCATATCCAATCGAGGTTGGTGACATGCCATATCGTTGCACGGATTTCTTAGCCTTGTCTTGTGGTTGCGGCCTGCGAGTTTCTAGGGAAGCAGATAACACCGCCTTGGTGAGGACAATCGCCTTTTCGAATCCAATAGTGACGACCAAAAATGGCAAGCCTTCCGAGAGGAGAATCATGTTCATTGGCACTCCCAGCCAATTGGTAACAATCAAGCCGAAAAGGAAAGCAAAGACGGAAGAGAAGAGGGTTGTTGCAAACAACCAGAAGTTCGAACCCATACGTCGCATTGAGACGAACAGGGAGACGAAAGTCAAATGCATCGAAATATAACCCAGAACCATGATGATGATATCTAAAGTTTCGGCATTTTTGAGGAGGTCCACAAAGGCAGTCCAGGCATTCGCAACCCAGTTTTTCATTCCAGATTGAGTTACAGTAACCTTTGCTGCCTTCATTATCCATTTCTTATGTTCCTTGGCTACATCCGCCTCGTAGCCATCTGGTAACACTCCAATATTTGGCAACTCCTGAGCTCGAACGAGAAATTCCGCGGCGTTTTGATACGGTACCGAGTATGCCAGAGCAGTATCCTGCGATATTGGGGACAAAGGGTTGGATGTTGAAGGTAATAGTGACACGGACAGATTCTGTGGCAAGGGAATTGCGTCTGACAATGGAGCAGTCTGCCGGGAATTGGCAGCCAGAGAATCTGGGAAGACAAACGTCAAAAGGGCCAGGTGATCTGCATCCTTTGCAGCTGGCAAGGCTGCATCTGCAGATTGCCATTTCCAACCAGTTTCACTTCCGACTCGCAATTGTCGACTACCTTCTTGAAGAGAGGTCCAATCCGCCTTGCTTCCAAACGTGTTTAGTTTGGTGACCTCGAAAAGACTGCTTTCGAGAAGGCCGATATAACTGGTACTTGCTAAGAAAGCAACTATAACGATCGTATGTATTGGGTGCAGGCACGCTCGGTAGGAGAGGCTCTGTAGTAGAGGCGTCACTAATTTATTCAACCATATTGGTCCTGCAGCGGATTCGGATGTAGCTCCAGGGAGCTTCGATCGAAGAAAAGAAGATCCAAGCATGATTGCGGTTCAGAGGAATATGCGCGGGAATTATTAAGCCATCGAAAAGCCGATAACGGAGCTAGTTACTATTTTCTGCTTGCGAAGACACACATTAGCATTGGATTGAAGAGTAGCAGCATTGAGAACTTTTTGGCGGGGCATTGTTTTAAAAGGACGTTTTTGACAGTTATTGGGAGTGATGGCGTAGCTGTGTAGCTGTGTAGCCGACTTGGGGTCTGGCAAACGATGGATGACACCGTTCCAACAAGGTATCAGCCCATTGCCTGCCACGTCCATATGACCCCAAGGGATTGAAGCTTCTCGAGCTATGCTCCGTGTCTGTACTCGAGCAGAAGGAAGGTATGGAGGTTGGCTGTCGTTTTTGCATGCATACACATACACACACAGACACAAAAGAAAGTGCCGTCTGCAGAACCAAGCGCCAGAAATGGTATGAAATAATATAGGACATACCGTGGGGGGGTTCGGTCGTGGGCTTGCGGGGCGGTCGACGACAAATTCGGAGGCCAATTCGTGTAATTCGGTCGGTGTTGAATCCAAGGAACGGCCAAAGACTGCGAAATGCTCTTCGACGAGGTTGATGATCGGTCGAAGGAGAACTCGAGCAGGAGTGGTTTGCTGTTCCCCAACGACGTGGATGGCGAAAGGCGTGGCCTGCAGGTGGAGCCGGTTGGTGATAAATCTTTCGCCCAATCACAATTTTAGAACGGCCGGCGGGCAGGAACGAAAAGGGGCACAGGAACCCCCGGTATAAAATGCACCCTAAACACCGGTAGCGCGAGTGTGACCAGCAACGTTGAACCCTGAAAGGAACGGATTCGAGATAAGAGAAAAGCCTAGTATTGTTCGTCCAGTTCTTTGATCGACGCTTCGGCGGATGGAGATCGGCTGACGATACCCCCTTTGAAGGGTTTGATATCTGACGTTCGGCTAATGAGGGCAAGAAATCGGCCCCTGCATATGGATACGTTTAATATGATATTTGCTAGTAGACGTGGCACAGTTATGTCATCAAGAGACTAAAAACGTTGCTGCTGATAATAGCGCGGATTACTGTACAACTAGTTCGCTTTTTCCCGAAACGAAAGTGCCATCGGGCAAGCAGAAAACCCATTCGGTAAAGGAGACGCCGAATTTTGCCAGATTATACATCTGCATCTTTCTATAACTATCTGACTCTCGCAACCAACGACTACAAATAATCCTTATCGCTTATCTATAATGTTCCCATCGAACTGCTGTCATACTGTCTTACCATTCCCCAGTCACTACCCCGGATCCCCAAATTCGGGGTGAGATCAAGAATCAAGGCCGGATTTAAAGTTTCCCTCCTGTGCTAGACGCACCGTATTGCTAACCTTAACGCCCGGCCATTCGTGGGTAGATGAATTTACGACTATGTCCGATGACAGCATAAAAGGTACATCTGTGGATAGAAGCCTTTTTTCTGCATGCCGGAAGAGATAGAGTTGAAAAAAGGTACCAACCTGTCCCGAAGGACGTCCGCAAACTGCTTATACCTTCCAAGTCTGTGTTCCACACCCCCACTACTGGTACTTGCTGCACCAAAGTTGGGCTGAATTAACCTTTTAGAAAAACAACCCGGTTGGGTTTCGCTTTGATTATCTACCGAAGAATATTCTAGACTTGATAGTACCGTCAAAACTCGAGAGGATGGTCCAAAGTGGAGCTGGAGTAGTGTTAACCATCGTAAAAATAATGCCGCAAGTGCCATAAAAGGGCCCCGACTTGATACTAAATCTCTTTGAAATCCATATTTTTGACGGTAGCTCCAGTGAAGAACAGGGTAAAATCCCCCGTAGAAGTTATCAATATCATACATAGGACGATGTAATGTTTTAGCCAAGTGCGACAGTCCGGACCGGTCGGACAAATACCTAGGCGCGAAAGACGTATATAAGACGATTGCATAAAGACTCTAAGGACTTCTTTTGCATCTCTTTTGAACTACAATTGCATCTATCCTTCCTACAATATACAATTCCAAAATCTTCTTGTTATCGCTACTTCAGCGACCAATGTCAGTGCTCAGGGTACTGCCGGTTATTCGTGGGCATACTGTCAAAATATACCTAGTGTAAGTCTTTGTCTCTCCTTCGGTTTATATAATGTCGTTAAGTTTTGATCAGGGGAATAATAATCCGGAGGCAACGAATGCGGTATGCATAGGCTTCCGGGATACACAGGGTTGCGACGATTGCAAGATTCGGCAGGCGGTTGTTGGTCCTGATCGTATTACGAAATGTATAAGTGATAAAAAGAAGATAAATCCTAACGAGGTAAGATTTTTTATGATGAGGCTAGGCGGGACGTGTATTCTCGCTACGGGGTCCCGCGCAACTGACTCCACATATGCCCGCTATAATTTTCCGGGCTTTCGTTATAAACAATAGAAAACTAATTGTATTATAAAATAGTGGGTTCGCGCGTGTAGTAAATCCGGGTACGGGTCGAGCACTGGAGTAGGAAACTAGTAGAAAGAAGAGAGAGGGAGAAGAGGACTATAACGGCTTTAGGTATCTGCTCAGGGTCTATGGCGGAATCAATGCTCACGACACGTGCTACACTAGACAATATGTAGTCCAATCGTGAGATCAGGTCCCCAACTCCCACCTTCTCTTACCCAGGTTACCCCAATTGAACGATTACATCAAACATTCATGGTGGTATGTTGTGCCTTAGGGCCTATGATAACCAGAGCCACTTCCCCGGGCTTTAAGAACGATAATTACGTCACTATCTATTTCAGAAGTCAATCCAGCAGCTTTCCAGAATAGTAGGCTGGAATGGAAAGCTTATGATAAAAACCTTCTCGATGGTTCAATATGCGCTTTCAGTAACGCTGTAGACAACGATGCTTCAAAGCCAGGCATCACCCAATTCCTCTATACAAACATACTCTTGGTTGTGCCGTTTGACGCAAAACGAAGAATTTACTGATCTATACTTCATACTCTCTCATAGACTCCTAACTTTCTCAACCTCTTCCCCACTCAATTCAACAACTTGGACACCTCCAGCCTTCAACTCCACTACCACCTCCTCCCACACAGTCGCATCCACGGCCCTCGTGGCCTCTCCAACTACCCAAGTCTTGAATCCCTCCTTGGCACTATCCAAAGCCGTAGCCTTGACACAATAGTCAAACGCTAACCCAACCACAAAGCAGTCTGTAATCTCGTTCTCTCTCAGTAGACTTGCTAGACCACTATCACTGCACCTGGGGGACACGAGCGGATCATAGAATGCACTGTACATCTCTACCTCCTTCCTCGTCCCTTTCTCTACGATCCTGTCAATTTTGTCCACGTGCAGCTCAGGAACGAGTTCTGCACCGGGAGTATTTTGCACGCAATGCACAGGCCATAACCTGCTTTCATACTTTTCATTTTCGTTTGCAGGGTTCGTGATGGTTGTGACATCGATGAAAGGTTTCTTATCTAGATGGTTTGCGGCGAATGATATGTGATCCGTGGGATGCCAGTCTTTCGTCGCAACTTTGATGGTAAAAGGAAGCTTGAGAAGCTGATTGACGAAAGCGATGATATCTCTTACGTTGGGAACAGCGAGGGCTCCATTCTGGTTGACAGTTGGTTAACTCGAGGCGTCAAATGAACATGGTCACACTTTACCGGAGGGCAGAAGTCTTCTTGCAGATCGACGATGATAAGAGCGGGTTTGAAGGTATCAAGAGCCATGATGGGTGAGAGGAGTATGCAGACTCGAGTTAAAGAGACTCCTAGCTGTCGGGGATGTCAAGGTACGATATGAAGAGCATGTGTAGAGCATATGTTTCTTGATGGAGGCAAGGGCAATGGAGGGGCACTCAGGTACTCGGGTATGACAACAGCTCCTTCCCGCCGAGGTTTAAGCGGGCTAGTACTGGTATGCCACGGAGATACCTCCTTCCAAATAGGTCCCACAACTCCCACAACTCCCAACGACCTTGACATCCCTTAGACAATCATCACCAAGGGCACTTCGCCGTATCGCCAGAAGAACGAAGCAATGGCGCCTGCGGGTACAGCAACTCTCGATACCCTTCCTCCCGAAATTCTACTCAATATCCTCCGCCACACCCCTCATAACTCTATGGCCGCTCTTGCGTTGGTATCCAAGAGCATTCACCCACATGCAAACACCCTGCTCTACACATATGTTCATTTTGATGAGAGAAATGATGAACGGGCCAAATCGACTTATGAGGACATCGACGACGACGACGATATTTTTCTATGAATGCAGGCGCCAATGACTTTCCCAGACTTGTCAAAGAAACCCTACCCAAATATCGCGTGGAACAAGCATGATGTGGTCCATCGAGATTCTGAGATTTTTCCTTGGAGTCGTTTCTGCTCTCCATCACTCAATCGCCAGGTCTACGCCCCTTGGTCTGCGCTGTTAGCTTCAGATGGTTTACTTCCGATACGGGAGAGATGGTGTTAAAAGTGCTCGACTTATTGGCAACCTCTTTAAAACCCTTACACCTCATACCAACAATAAAAATAAAAACACTTGTGTTGCCCTCGCTATTGACTTCTCTGGAGGTGAGGGCTGGTCTGATAGGTCTAACAATATGTCGTGATGCAGATTTACCAAGACAACATAAGACGAACCTGGAGATCTATTACTCTCTGTTCCTTATACCCATACTCACCTCTTTGACTGTGAAGGGTGTAGAATCATGGGACACATTCCATGGTTTTCGACATGACTGGACGAGGACTTCGAATATCACCAGCCTATCATTTCCGGCTCACGTTGACCATGGTGGGGATTTCAAAGAGATTTTGACATGGCCTAAAGCTCTGCAGGTATTACGGATTGAGAACTTCGATGACGCACTCATTGATGGCGGATCCATGGTCATGACTGGTGCGGAATATGAAGATGCTATTCGAACACAGCATGAGACTCTGGAAGAATTCTCCCTCGATACCGCTGATGATCAACCTTTTTCCCTTTTGCTATTGGAAAGCCAACCTAATCATCCGAGGCCTGATGTTCTCATCAGCTTCAAGTCATTCACACAGCTGCGACGTCTTAGACTCCCACGTGAGTTTGTGATGTTGAAAACAAATGAAGTCCAAGACCTGTGCCTTCTGCCCGGCGCGCTGTCGACAGCTTCGGATATCCTCCCACCGAGTCTTGAAGAATTCCAATTTCAGATGGTAATGGTACAAAAATACTCAGGAGAACCGTCTAATCCTTTTGAGGGTTTTGGAGAAGGGACGATCTCTGCTCGGCTGTGTGAGATTGCCCACAAAAAGGATCGATATCCTGCTTTGGGCAAGGTCGCCATCTGGGTGCATGATCTTCATGGAATCTACGAGAACCATGACAAGTCATCACGTTGTCTTGAACCATTTGATGTGGAACTCTGGAGCTTTGAAACCGGTTTGTCTGCCGCTTTGGATGCTTTCAAAGAGGCTGGTATTGAGTCATACATGGTCACATCCAGGAAACCACCAATGTTCAGTTATTGAATTCTGTCTGCTCACAAAGATCAAAGGAAGAAAACATCTCGAGTCGACTATCTGCCTGACCGGGTTGATGGGTTTCCCGGGAACGTCACTGTTGCAATCGTTTTATCGCATCAGGCCTGATATTATTGATTAGCATCTTATGGTCCGCGGGATGATATCAAGCTCGGGAACTTTTACGGCTGTGGGAAGACCTCAATCTGCTTCACCCCAGGCAATGCTTCATTACGAATCAAATTCGGCAAATTCCATTTCAGATCAGAACAGCTAGCACGAAATCCCTTTTTCATTCTACAGAACCTACTATTTGCTATTGGCTCAAGAGATTGCTAGCTCAAAGAAGGATTCGTTGCCTGTTACTATTGCTGTAGATAGCCATCTCCACCCTACTCATCTTCTCAAACAAACAATCCAAGTCAAAAAATACTTCCTGGTATCATGTGAAACCTCTTTCATACTTATCCCTCTAAAGAAAAATACCCTTGGATAAAACCCGCTTGCCCCATCTAGTCATACCTTCCTTCCTACCGTATATCCTCTTTATCTTTTCAAACTTAACCCCATTCCATATCTCAATCCAAGGGATTTACAAGCTACGAGCTAAAAATATGCATTTCGAGACTCTCCAGGGAACTAAAATTTCAGCGTAAGAAATGCGTAGAGTAAATTAGAGTAGTAGCACCTACTCTCTTCTACTCGCCAAGTACTTGAGTAGTACTCAAGTAGTACGGAGCAAGTCGGGCCGACCAGTCCGACAGCTCGGAATTAGCCGGCCCTGAGAGAGAGCTACTATTTAAAGACAAATATTTTGTTCTTACTTTACTTATATTAGTTACGTTACTACTACTTGAGTACCTAGTCAAAATCAGTACTCATCACTACTTAATTAGTAGAAGCCGCTACTCTACTCTACTCGAGTAGTACTTAAGTAGTTTGGTAGTCCTTTCGTACACTAAAAACTAAAATGTCCTATCCCCTAGATACTAAGTACTTATCTATTTACCTACTACTTCCCAGTCTTCTAAATAAGGTAAAGAGTAAGTAAGTTACTATCTCAAAGAAAAGGAAAGAAAAGAAGAGAAAGAGAATATATAGTACTTTAGTAACCCTTTTATCCCCTCTATTCTCTTCTATCCTATTATCATCATAGGATATATTGCACATACTAGGGGTGCCTAAGTAAGCTCGTATGTATCGTATGATCCAGTTAATCACTTACAGTCCACAACAACAACCTACAATCAGTAGGATCTTTGTAATCTTACACTTGCAAAGAGGGGTTACTCTACTATAACATGACTCACGAGCTACCAAAAGGATGCATTTTAAGAGTTTGATAAGAGGGAGGGGAGTAAATCTAGTTAGTTATCTTCTCTATCTATGTAGAGCATCCTAGTTATTTCTATAAGAGAGGTTATATCAAGTGATTAAATCGATGGATATTTACTTACTACAACTTCCGTACCTTATGGAGGCTTCCTTCCTCCCTCTTTCTAGAATGTAATGAGGGCTTCCTAGTTATTCCACAAAAGAGATCAAATATATCAAGTGAATGAATCAATATAGATTGATTCACTATGTCACTTCTGTACCCTAGAGTCCCTCCCGCTCTTTCTAGAATCCAAGAAGTAAGGTGGTTGGTTTATTGATCTCTCAGATCATCCAATATTCCACCTTAATCTACGATCACTTTCACGACACAGGACATAGATAACAAACATCAAGTAAAATCCGTGGAAAGATTCTTTTTTTATATTTCACAATTACTCATCTCCCCCTTTTCATTTTCAGACATTTGTTATGCACCTCAATGTCATCTCATTCTTTTTCACCCCAAATATCAACCATGCACCCACATATGCCTCCTCTGCCCTGCCTAATGAATCGCAGTATGTCCCAATTGCCCCACCCCATACGACTGACTCTCTTCCAAAAAATAAGCAGTCAATTCCAACTCATACAAAGATCTCATACGACGGAGATTCTCCCCTCCCCAAAATTTTCCTTTGCTTTTTTCTTCTCTCTTCCATGCTTCAACTTCCGCTATATGTCAAAGTCGAAAGCAAGTTCGTCATAACCTCGTAACCCCCAGCCTCGGCGAGAAAAAAATGAAATAAGGTGTTGAATTAATACATTAGACGGGTTCCAAGAATCAGATCCCAATCAAGGAAAACGGTCGTGTCCCCCTTTCCGGCTGATCATACAGCAAGATATAAGAAGAAAAAATGTGTGGGTATTGGAAGAACGAAGATGCAAAGAACCCGAACGCAGAATGGCCGCCCGCCCCCCTTTAAATAAATAGCCGAAGAACCCCGCTGGAAAGCTCAAATGCCCGATAATAAAAATTATGAAAAAAAGTCCGAAATACGTGGACTATGATTTCTTTGGTTCTTTGCCATCCTCGGAAGATCCATTGGTTGAATCGCTATCGGGACTGGACGGTTGATGGATTTCTATGGTTGGCTCGAGTTTGGCGGCTGGCAATACTGCTATCGGGGTTGAGTGGGGCCTTTCTCCAGTTTTCCTCAGTTTGGCTTCTTGACTGCTTGTCCGGTCACTTGAGCCCTCGTGCGAGCTCGACACGATGGGCGTACTCGCTTGACTTCCGCCCCTTTGGCCATGGTAATGTATCACTTGGGGTGGTGCTTGACCTGCTGGTGTGCCGAGAAGATGCTGAGGATAAGGATGCAAATCCCTCGAAGATGTCGAGAATGTTGAAACGATTGGTTGTGGATAGCCATTGTTTCCATTGCTGGATGAAGGAGCATGCCCAAAAGCTTGACTGTGCTCTGCCTGGGTTGGGGTCCCAGAATCTGTTGCTACCGGGCTCATTTGATCGTTTGCCTGGCCCGTCAAGCTGTTCAAACCTCCTTGTATATCTCGTAGCAGCCGAACGTATTCCTCAGGGACCAAACCACTTTCCTGTGTTCTCGGATCCATTGCTACAAGCCATCCCTGGCCATGCCGATACGATACCCAAATCACCTGGCCTTCGACTAATGGCAGCTCATTTTCGTTTTCGCTCTCGAAATCGAATAGTGCCACGGCTTTCCCATGCATTTCTTCATCTGGTGACGCAATTGTGAATTGGTAATCCCGCGAGTATCGAGATTCATCATGTCGGGTGAGTCCAGGAGAGGAAGCTGAGCTCGAAGCGTCTGATTCCGATGGGTAGTCCTGTCCATTTTCGTCTGTATAAGATCTGCTTGGAGGTATTCCAGCGAAGTGCGAGTCCCTTTGACCGGGTCTGTTGTAGGGAGCGAGGGTCGATTGCCGAGCTTGTTCGGGGGATAAGGTTACTATTTCACCTCCAGGACCATCAGGCTCACTGCCCTGATTTAGATAATATCTCTCGCTGCCATCTCCCTCAGTTCCCATAAAGTAGGCTCTATCGCTTTCAAGGTGTTCCTGGCTGAGCATACTGGTTGTTCGCTCCCCATCATCTCGCCCATTGCGACCTCTGCCCCGAGTCTCACCCCCTAAAGCACCTGCGGAGGATTTATGCTTCCTGTGACGAGAGCTAACAACCACAGGACTTTGAAGGTCCTCGTCCTCACTCCATGGCGGACCATCACCAAAATGAATTGGAGCCAGTTGTTCTCCTTTCATAAGTCCATCAGAAGCCCAAGCACCAGGGATCCAACCACTCTTCATAGGCCAGCCGCCCGGCGCATTCCAAGATACGGGTGGATCTGACAGCCGCTTGTGCGTTTCACTGGCAGGAGTTGATAACCCGGACGGTGGTCGTGAGGACTCTGGCGGTGGACCATAATGCATAGGATGGGATGGTGGATATGCAAAGTCTCTGACTAATGTATAGTTCAGACTAGAGTGAAATATTGGAAATATGTGAGATGGGGGACGTGAGCGACTGGGCACTGAACAGGTCGAGAATTGTGATAACCGGTTCTTGGAAGCAAGAGAGTTGGGGCGCTGTAAAGTAGATCGTTTGGTGGTGGGAGAAGTTATTAGCGGAGGTAGAGGTGGATGGTTGGGGTTCGATGACGGAGAAGAAACCGATGGTGGGGAAGAAGGAGGGGGCGACGAAGTATCCAGCGATGGAGGCATGACGGCCGCCATGATTTCAATGTATTTCGCGTCTCTCACAGACTCAACGGCGGTGTAATCTGGGGTCTATTTTGATCTGTTGACAGCAACGAGGTTGCCAAAGCCGGTTACAGCTTGGCCAGCAAGCCACTTATTCCAGCAGATATTACTACTCGGACTGGCGCAAAAATAATGTAGGTAGAATGTAATATCTGCTCCGGTACGGACCCTCGCATGTACTGAGTTACAGTAGACGGATCGCAGGCAGTTCGTTGCAGAGAGGATGTGCAGGAGGGAGGAAGCAGAGCTTGTTGGGTGGCAGTAAGGAATGTCGTCGTTTGAAATCAGGCCGTAGGGTGGTGGTCGCGAGGGATGCGCCGTTGGTGTTGGAATTAGGGTGGTTTCGAGGATTCGAGATTGATGAAGGGCGGGTAGCGAAGCGGGTGAATGGCTGACCAGGTCGATGCTCAGCTCTGCAGTTGGAAAGCAGAACAGACTGGAGAAGGGAGCGAGGGAGACCGGGAGACAGGGCGCTGAAAGATCAGACTCGAGTCCTAGTTGCTAGCCCTCTGCACAATGCAAGAATGCTCGATGCACAGGTAGCGCTGACCCCACAGCTGAGTGCTGCACAATCGCAGACGTCAAAGAGCTTCCGTTCAATGGTCTACGGCTACGCTCCCACCCAGAACCAGAACCACCAGCTCTTTTTTTCTGACCGATGCCGCAACCTCTCTCGAGTGCGCGCACTGCTCCAAGAGTGGCAAAGTAGTGAGCTGCGTATGCGTATTCGTCGCAAGTGGTGGTGTAGTGCTCAGCCAGCAACGGCGGTGGGATTGGGGTTGGGATTGTTCAATGTCGAAGCGCCGGGACAATCGCTTTCTGACAAGGCCGGACTTGCGGGGTTGAAAGAGTTTGGACGGAGGCCTCCAAAGTGCAGTACTCGTACAGCAGTACTGAGAGCTTGAGGGGAGGTTTTGTTGACTTGACACGTGACAGCGAGAACTGGCGGGCGAGGGTTGCGCGCGGGACGCTATTGTACGCAAGTTCGACGATAGCGAGGGCTCTGCTGGTGATATTGGAGAAGATCTTAAAAGAACATGGAAGCTCTGGAAGAAGGCGCTTGGGCAAAGTGACATGGGCGACCTTGAGGGGACTGCTGGCACTGGCAACTGGGACCGTGTGTGTGGCATGAGTGGGCTGAGAGGAGAGGGCACCCGAGGGCAAAGGGCAGGAGAGGCTCGCTAAAAAATCTATTTTCGGGGTCCGCCTTTTGGGGGACACTGCGTTAGCGTGTTTCAGCTCTCCAGCCAGCGAATCAGCGCTGTTGCTGCTGTGCATCCCGTTGATGCTGCTGCTCGCAGCTCTTGCGGAAGCCTGAAGTCGTTGTGCCAGCCGTACGGTAGACCCAGCAATGCCAAGGGCTGGATGAGGATGTGGACGTGTTCGCAGCCCATTGAAGCATCGCATCAACAAACCTCGCTCGCTCGCTTGTCTACAACATCAGGCAAAGAGACCCTCTAGCCTCCATCACTCAGATCCGACTCGAAATATTTCAATTGAGGCCATCTATTTTCATAAATTGATCGACGGCCGAATTCCGTCCCTCTCGTCTAAATTATGCACACCATCAAATCATGCTCTTCAGCAAAAGTCCGACACCGTAATTACTCTTGCGGGACGACATGCCATTTGGGACAAGCTTGCGCCACCGCCTGGGAGATCTTCGTGCTATGGAGTCCGAAAGAGGAAGTGGGAACCTTGACAGGAGACGCAAAGAGGAGATTGGTCTCGCATACACCTCTTGCGGCCATATTCCACGAGATACCAAAGTATACTTACCGAGGTGGGGACGCCAAAGGCACCGACAACGCGGGAGACTTTGCTGAAGAAACTTACTTCGATATTTATAGTAGACAGTCCGTAGTCTGGTCAGTTTATCTTTTCTTAGTAGTAAAGTTTATTATTAGAGTAGCTATTACTTGTGATATTTCTACAAAACTAGAGTACCTAGATAGTAGAATATCGTTGGTATTTCACGTAAATCACTTATGGTAAACAATTTCTCCTTTCAGCGTCACAGAAGTGATCACAGACATAGCTGCTAGTAGATCGAAAAGCAGTGGTACATACTGCATCTTGCTACTTTCTGATAAATTGGCGTTGCTATCATTATTGTAGTGTAAGCGCCCGTAAGTAAAATAGCTGAAAATTGGGTAGCTACGAGTATCTGCAACAAGAAGAAAATCCAACTCTATGGCAGAGAGTTAGCTATGAGCTCAATCCAAACTTATACAGTAATATGTCTTGAAGCAATTCACGCTTTCTTTGGAACAGGAAAAGAGTCGTTGGCTATTCTCGAAAATACAGCTGCATATGGACCCGAAACTGCATCGTTGGTACGTCCGTACGCTCCGCCGTAGGTACTCTTTGTAGGGCCACCAGGGGCCAAGGCGCTTCTTCTTCACCGCCACCCAACCAATCAATGATTCTTCACAAAATTTTAGCGCATACCTTTGCCCTTCAACACTACACCACCTCACCAAAAACATCATCAGCAAGCAAATACTCAACCGCATAAACCTGCGCGCGACTATGACTTGAACAAGGTATGTTAACATCGAAGCCTCTTCCCTTCTCCTTTGTGATACTATGATGAATCCTTATTATTGGAGCTGTCTTATCTTCATGATGACACAATCTTTATTACGCAACTTTATACCTGAACGCATCCAAATTCTTCTGCCTGCACGATTTCCATCTGTCGTAGGGTCGTAGCTAATACAAGATGCTTTACAGAAGCACCGAATCTTGACGACTTGCGATTCCTGATGATTCCCGGTTGAGCCGACAAGAGGGGAAAAGCTCTTCATTTTTCGAGGTTGGCTTTTTCAATTAAATCCTCACCACCAAAAGATCATCAACATGGCACAAACACAACTTCAAGGCACGAATGGAGCCGCACAAAACGGAGGACGCGTAGATGACGATGGCTTCAAGCTCAGGTTCTGCACTGTGTGTGCTAGTAATAACAACAGGTCAGTCTTCCGATCCCCACTAATCCCGCAAGCTCATATCGCTGACTTGACGGTCACAGATCTATGGAGTCGCATCTTCGTCTAGCTGCAGCAGGCTATCCCGTGATATCATTTGGCACCGGATCTCTGGTCCGACTGCCTGGGGCCTCTATCACTGAACCGAATGTATATCAATTCAACAAGACTTCCTACGATACCATGTACAAGGAGTTGGAGAGCAAGGACCCACGTTTGTATCGCGCAAATGGTATTCTCAACATGCTTGGGCGAAATCGAGGTGTGAAATGGGGACCTGAGAGGTGGCAGGACTGGCGCGTGGGCGTGCCTAGATTGGAACATTCTACCGATCAAGGCAGTGTAGGCGTTGAAGGCGGTGTTGTGGACGTTGTAATCACCTGCGAAGAGCGGTGTTGGGATGCCGTAGTTGATGATCTCTTAAATCGAGGATCGCCGTTGAATCGCCCAGTGCATGTCATCAACGTTGACATCAAGGACAATCACGAGGAGGCTCTCGTTGGAGGTCGAGCTATTCTTGACCTTGCAGACTCTCTAAGCAAAGCTGCCGCTGAAGAAAGAAAAATGAATCCATCTGCCTTCGACAGTGGCAGTGGTACTGGAAGGTCCACTTTTGATCAACGAGTTCCAGAGGTCATCGCCGAATGGCAAGACAGATGGCCACAACTTCCAGCTCTTTGGACTTTGGCATGGTTTTGAAGTTCTTTATTTGATATGATGAATGGCGTTGAGGATTGGTATACCCATATTGGCGTCTATGGCTTCGATTTCTAGCGTGATATGTCACTCAAACACTCCCGCGTGGACTGGGATAGTTGGCCTCTTGGTCAACTCGGAAACCGGTCAATCAAAAAAATTGATTAATTATGAAGTTGATAAACCCTTCATGCTAAATGATATTGTTTACCTTTACATTTGGGAACCCCCAATTCGAGAGAATATCGGGCGAGGCTTTTTTTACACACGGATTTTAGTGTGAAATAATGGCATAGGGCTGTACAGTAATGCTTGTGAAGGCACGGCCGAGCGGTGGAGAAGAAATAAGGTGTACCCAGGTAATTGAAGCTTCAGGGACCCAAAGCATGAATGTCCGAATATTCTGGAAGGCATCAACTCAAGCAACAACCCTCACAGATTCATATGCGAACTCTTGGATTCGAGCCAGACCATCAGCTTAGATCCTAGACTCGACGATCTGCAATAAAACCACAACGGTTCACCGTTCATGAACATGGCCCGTTGGTGACAGCTGAGATGCTCATGCTTGGTATTATTGGAGTGGCCAATTGGGCGGAGGTTCTCCTCATCCACAACAATCGTTCAGGGGTAGCGAAAGGGACTAGACTCCTTTAATGCTGGATGAACTTCTGGTGAATAGAAGGATTGACCTATGGTTTTACCTATACAGGACTGCTGCAATCTAGGATCCATACCAGGTGCAGAAGTTGGATATATGTTGTGACTCGGACCTCTTGTGATACCAAACTAACTATCGGGTGGTTTCTTAAAATATCTCTCCATCTCCATAATAATACTTCGTCCATAGCAAAGTCCCTCAATAGCTATCACTTCCCCATCATTGCAATTGATTAGATCTCTGGGGATCACCGCAGACAAGAAGATTCTTGCCGTGTGCCGTGAGCCTCTGGCCTCTTGAATCCGCACAAAGTCAAAACACACGGTTTATCGATATCAGCCCGGCCGTTGGTGCCATTTTACGCGCCGCTAGCACTTTTACAGAGCGACTACCGTTCGCTTCACCCACTTTTGCAGGAACCCAGACCGAGCCTGGGCCTGGGCAGCACAGCACATGCATAGCACATCCGTGAAGTAACTTTAGCCAAAGGGGTCGACCTTGCAAAATTGCACCAACTTCACCAACCCGTTCCTCGACCAGCGCTGGATGACTGACTGCGAGCCTCCTTTCCAACACGAATACCTACCTACCTTACCTCGCTCCCCTCACCCTACACTGCCCAATCCGACCCAACCCCGTCACTCCTTACCTCCCAAGCAAGAGCGTGTGCAGAACTTGCAGATCCAGTCTTTACCATCGTCAGAGAAGCATTCGATCATTCCGATACTATAAACGTCCCAAAGTCAATTCGCACCCTCGCAAACCTCTTGCCCATTGTGCCCAGCGAGACGATTCAACACCACGCCGTTGCTGCCCCTCAAGCGAATCGCTTGACGCCGCCCCTTTCGCTTTGACAACCCTGCACCTTGTCCCGAATCCCGTTTCAGTCACTCGACTTTGTTCCATACACGCCGTACCAAGCAACCTTGAAAGCCGTCAAGAAGGATCCCGCTGTACGATTTACTCCCGGGCATCAGCAGAGAAACTGAGGCTGCGCTCGCGACTGACAGTACGGGGGTTGCTCGCCGAAGCCTCTAATTCGCCGATCCTGTCTCGTAAAGGCAGCAACCATGAATGGCCGCAATGGACCACTGTCCCCTGTCTCTGTAGGAGAAAGCGAATGGTCGGGTATCAGCAAATACGCAGGCAATGGAAATAGCGACCAACAATACCGTCCATACTCTCCTGCCGCCGCCAACAATCGCGGTCAACTTGCTTCACCGCCGATATCGAGCGGTTCCAACGGGCAGATGAACGGAGGAGGCTTTCCCCCTAGAGGGTCGTCGAATGGCATTCAGAGTCCGGGAGGCCCGTCGCCGCCCAGCTCAATTGGGAGATCGAGCATAGGAACCGGCTTGTACGCGCAGAGCGACAGTGGCAGGAGTATAAAAGATGCGCAGTTTGAGGCATCGTTATCGGAACATTATGTCGCCCTCAAGAGATATTTGGCGGCGTCGCTGCGAGACGAAAAAGGGAATCCCCGACCGAACAGAGCGCGGGATAAGCTGTTGCGACTATCCTCTGTGCAATTCCAGGAGCTGAGTACAGATGTGTTTGATGAATTGTTGCGAAGACAGCAAGGAGGAAGACGGAATCCAAATGGTGGGCCACCTCCAGAAGGCGGTCCCCCACCATACCTTCTGCCCAAAGACACATTCCACCCCAAACGGAACCAAGCTAGACAGAAACTGTCGACACTACCACCTCCACGATTTCGAGACCTGGCGACAGATGTATTCTACGAATTGGAGAGAAGGTTTCCGCGGTTTGCAGGTGGTGATATAAGTCGGATCGATAGTCCAGCCTCTTCGATGCGCGGTGGACCACCCAGGAGCGGTAATGGCACACCGGTGAATGGCGTCCCCCGAATGCGCAGACCTTCAGAGGCTAGCTCTGTAGCGTACTCGAATAGAAGTGAGTCTAGAGGTGGTGGACCACGGATCCCAATGGGAGTGGTTCCTCCATCTCCTGGAATTCCTCCAAATGATTATGGCAGGCCGACACCAAAGACATTTCAAAGTAATACCCTAGTTCCGAATAAAAGCACCATGGTAGAGGACGACGAGACGGGAGAAGAGGACGATGATGGGGATGCCTTTGGTTTAGAAAATGCTGCTCGAAGTAGAAACAGCAAGAAAAACTCTGGGTCATCCGAGGTATGCTATCAAAATGTAAGGATTGTGAAAATACTAACTTGCCTTCTAGACCGACAAGAAACTAATCGAGGACTACCAATCACAAGTACGAGAATTACGAGAGAAGCTCGATGCTATGGAGGATAATCTCAAAGCAAAGGACGACGAACTAAATATAGCACGCAACGGCGAAAGATCACGATCAACAACAATAACTTTGAAGGACAAGGAACTCAGCGATCTGAGGATGAACTTGGAGACTAGAGTTGCAACTGCTCAGAAGTTGAACGATTCTCTGCAATCGGAAATAGACCGCCTACGTGCAGATCATGATAGTACTGAACGAGCTTTGCGGCAGGAAATAGAAGATCTGAGAGTAGGCGGGGGCGGAGGAGCACGAGGGTTTGGGGGTGGTAACTCGGATCTGGAACGTGAAAACCAAGAATTAAGAGCGGAGCTTGACGAACAGCAGCGTGTCACAGAAGAGGTGCGCATAGAAGCACAGAATTTCTTGCGGGAAATGCGGATGCTTTCGGATAGAAGTACGTCTTCATATGAACGGGAAGAACAGCTCACGGATACCATCAACAAATTGGAGGAAGAGGTCAGAGACTGGAGAAATCGATACGCCAGAACGAAGACGCAGCTACGCACTTTGCGTGCTTCGTCAATCGGCCTCATTATCCAGCAAAATGCTGCGACAATTACTAAGGATAATGGCTTTACAGAGGCCAATGGCATGGTCAAGGATATCCACGTTACTAAATTCCAAATTTCAATCGACGAGCTTCTACGAATTGCCCGTACAGACGAATATGCAAAGGTTCTAGAGTTTATGAAGAGGATTGTTGTTAATGTACGAAGTATCACGCAAGATATCGACCAAGCACCACCAAGCACTGGAGATAAGGCACAGCTCCAGTCCAAGCTGAAGTCAAGAGTCTCAGCAACCGCCAACAATCTCATCACAGCATCTAAGAATTTCGCATCGGCAAACGGTCTTTCGCCCGTCTCGTTGCTAGATGCCGCCGCTTCGCATCTTACAGCAGCTGTTGTCGAGCTTGTTCGCACGGTCAAGGTGCGGCCTACACCTGCTGGAGAACTCGAGGACGACGATGACGGAAACTCGGAGCCAGTCGCAAGTACAGGCTTCTTTCCAGTTCGTGAGATAAGACCCGAAAGTCAACCTCCGCCCCTCCAAGGACTCCGAAATATACCAAATATACAGACGAATACCACACAATCCTCCAACGTCCCACCTCCTTTCCAAGGCTTACGACATATGAGCGCAGACTCCTCCGCGTATAGTCCTATCAATTCTCCACGCGACACAAGAGATAATTCCATGGCAAATGGCTATATGAACGGAAATGGAGCTCCTCCACAAGCACCTATGGGAGTCGGTTTCGGCATCAGAACCCAGGATAGTGATGTCGAAGACCTAAAGGTAAGCTTTGAATGAATTTGTCTATTGTGCCTCAAACTAATTTTGCTAGATATACCTCGAGGACCAAACTGCCGCACTGGTTGCCAATATTCAATCACTCGTAACTTCTATTCGGTCAGACGCCGGGATCAAGGCCATTTCAGGACAAATCAATGCGATTGCCGATAATGTCGGCTCAGTAGTCTCCGCTACCGAGACGGCAATGTCTTCGACCGGCAACAGCATTCTTCGAGTGCAGGGAGAACCAATCTTGAGAAACCTCTTGGGTTGTCGTCAACGTCTGCTACAAGCAGGCGAGACTGGTCGACAAATTGTGGAGGATGATGGAGACGACGACGAAGCGGATCGGGCCTGGCGAACTTGGAACCAATCACTTCCACCGCTTGCCTTTGAGATTGCGCGGGAGACGAAGGAGTTGGTCTTGAGAGTCGATGTTATCGATGGGGATCAGCAACGAGGCGGTGATGATGACTTTTCATGATTGATTTGCATATTAATTTGTATTGTGTCACACGAACGAAAGTTTGACCATGTATACCCCCCATCATCTCTTTTGAAGGACGAAAGGGTGAAGGAGTCTTTTTAATTCTTCCTATTCATGTCTTTTTTTTATTCTTTTATTTTTTTGGCATAGCGATTTTGCGACTTGCTTTGCTTTTTTTTCTCTCTCTCTAACTTCTCTACAATGGAATGGGGGTTTGTTATTATTTTACTGGGTTGGGTGTAGGGTGTAGGATGTGGGGAGGGAGGCAAGAAAGGAATGATATGATACTGTAGGATGAAGAAGAAAAGAATCATCCTCTTTTTTTTTAGGTGGGGGTAGATTAACGTAATGGTATGGATGGATGGACAATATAACATGGGTCTGGGAGGGATATTTGTATGGTATGAGAGAGAGGCGGGTATGGATGGATGGGTTTTGAGCATGAGCGAGAGAAATACAGTAAATAGGATGTTGAATGGTATTCCTTTGGCAACTGAACGAAACGGGATATGATTTTTTGTGTGAGAGTGTGTGAGAGGGGGAGAGAGGGAGAGGGGAGGGGGAGAACATATGGATGGATGGATGGGATAGTGTTATTGTAGTCTTGTATATTAGGGATGGATAGAATGAATCTTTGTTGGTGGTGGACAATTTGTGATTTCCTTCCAAAGTGGTATTTGTCTTCTCATGAAGATCTTCTGTGTGGATTCTTTTTTTCTTTTGTGGCCTTTTTGAACAAGGAGATTGTGGTTTATCTGCTAGAAGGGGATGGCTGATGGCTGATAAGGTCTTGTCTCCTAGGTGTTCGCTTAGAGGTAAAGGGTCTGTACAGCTTGGGTCTTCCCCTCCTCCTCCCACCTTTAGTCACTTTCTGATATACCTCCTCAAGAATCAGACAATCAAATTGGCTTAGAGGGTCATATTGTAGGATTGTACTCTGTCTATAACGAGTTGTGTGTACAGGGGGAGGGGAGATGTGAGCTGACCAGACCCTTTAGGTTACGCCATGGAAAGGGGAGTAGGTCGTAGTATTTTTGAACATTCACTAGCGTAGGGCTGTGTTCACTGCGTATTTGAGTGGTTGTAGAACGCCTGTCTCTGTATTCACTATGGTTATGATCGAGTTTTGGGATAAGGCTAGGTCTTAGTGAAGGTAGGTCTACGTAGGAACTTTGATATTGGGATTGGAGGTTTATAGATGGGTTGGCCCACTGACATAGTCATTTCCTGAACACAGAATCACAAGCCACATTCAGGAAATCATTTACGATGTCTACCCAGACTAAATCTGATGGACCCCAATCCTCAACGGATACTCAACAACCAAGTACTGAACAAAAAGCGGAAACGAAAATCACAGACACACTCTCCACCCACGAAAAGAATACGATCAAGTCGCTTGTCCACTTACCGCCAGAATATAGGGCTGTTCTTTGGGAGAAGTCTAGCGGTGGGCAGGGAGGGAAAGGTGGGACGACAGAGAAGTGAAGAGAAATCTATATGAAACGGTGATGGACTGGGGAATTCACATTCTAGAAGGCCAGGATGGATCTTCTTGCAAATGTTAAGGCGTCTGAGTTAAGTAGGATATATTTTGCAACAAGCTTGTTGGGAAGCTTGTGGGTTGTGGGGTGAGGACTCTATGTTGAAGATAAATACTCGTATCTCTAGGAAGATAGGAACCGGAACATGATTGCTAAATAACTTCCTACCCTACTGGAGTAATCGCATGAAACCATTAATCTCAAAACGCATTTTTTCATTAGTACTAATAATTGAGAACGCAGTGGTTTTACGACGTACCACACAGTGGTTATAGCGATGCTCGGCTTAGTCTCTGTGTCTACATCTCCTCAGCTTATGGAGCCTTTTTTGGAACTCGTGCTCCCTTCTGCGTCTTTCCTCTTCTTCCTTCTCCTCCTCCTCCTTCTTTCTTTCCTTCTCCTTGTCTTCAGAATCCCCCGAATGCCCGCCACCGCCACCGCCCCCTCCAAACTTCTTCTTCTTTTTCGCCTCCCTATCTTCGATCACCGTCCTAGATTTAACGTCAGGACCACCGATATGAGCAGCTCTCTTGTGGATTCCGTAGGCACTTGGTTGCCGGACACCAGGAGAGAGATTTCTCGGTTTGCAAAAAGGAGGAACAGCGTCCACGATAGGGCGTAAGCAAGTGGTATTATCAGGAATGACACAGAATATAATCCCGTCGGGGTTGGTGAAAAGTGGATCGTTGACTGAAACCACAACTGGACTTCTGGGGACCTTCTTGGTATATTTGTAGAAATCTTCTGTGTCAGAAATGATGCGGAGAACACCATGGTCATTGAGAATGCATGGGTATTTTCGTGGGATGTAGTTGGGATCGGGGTTGGGGAGGGGGCTTGGGAGAGGATGCGGGATGAAAAATCGTTTGGTGGTTTCTTTGTCGTTCTTGGAAGCTCTTTTTGGGAGAGCGTTGATGTCGTTCTTGCGATCGACAGGAATGGTCCCCGCAATAGCAGTTGATGAAATGGCGAGTGCGATTATAGCAGTGAGTTGAAGCTTCATCTTGGGGGACAGATGTGTCCCAGAGGACTGTAAAGATAATGATGAAATGAATGAAGCGGACTACAGTGAGTCCTCGAAGAAACTGGTTACTCGTCGCCCCAGCCGTAGTTTTGTGGTTATTGGTTGTATTGCAATGATGAGATAAGGTCTCGACAGCTTTTTGGCTAGAGTTTGCTAACTCTTCGGCATGGAAAGAGAATTCAACACCTGAAATGCTGTAAGAAAGCACTAGTCTGATTATAGAGAGCCAAAAGATGCTCCAGATGTTGCCAACAAGATTCGAAAAGTCGTCATTACATCGAAGTCTTCGGGCGAAATCTGGAAATCAAGGTTGCAGCTTTGCATTCAATATACACGTGCTCCCATTATACCTTGGGATGGGAATGTCGAAACCTTAAATCAAGAAAAGGCATTGTCTGGAAGAATCACATCTTTTTCCCAACAAATAGGGACTTGGGTGGAAATCCGACATATCCGAATTCGGTATCTTGGGGCAGAAAGAGGGGAAACTTGGGGTGCCAAGCTACTTTGTCAATATTTTAGGTTGACAAATCCGTCATCGAAATCATTAAGTTAGTATAGAGAGTTAGGCAAATAGAAATAAGCATCGATTGCTGTAGAAACGGACCGAGCTCGGAGAGTAGGGCCATTGACTCGGCAACTCTAAAGGGACTTTGATATGGTACTAGTACATACCGTGGCTTCTGACAATTAGACATGCCCTAAATGTGCTAAGCGTGAAAATGGAGCGCGTTGATTGGTTATATGCGGCGATACTATTTACAAGTGACGAGATGATATTCTGGAAGAGTAAAAAGATGGTAGTTATATTAGACCAAAAAGAAGTTGGACAGGTAAGAAAGAGAGACCTTACTCTTGATCCTTGGATGATACCTGTTTTAGTCAAATCCATTGAGCTGTTGCTGGTGTATATAAAGGTTAAAAAAACTCTTAAAATATAGTTTCTTATACCACTTGCTAACAAGGCCCACTCTTGTGTTTACAACATTGTCGCCGTAACACGTGAAGTATATTAACCGGCAAGTACTCGGATATCGAGTTATGTAGACTATAGTACAGGTTTTTATTTAACATTCCTAGGCAGACTTTCTACGTCACTTCACAGCCTTCGTATGGATTACTACATATTTGTCTGTAGCCAAGACAACAACGCAATGCAATTTAGGTAGAAAAGCCGAACACGAGTACTAAGCTCGAAGAATCAAGAATGTAAATCAAACTATTCTATATAATCACGCCGTGGAAACCCTTTCCACCTAATACTCAACGCGCGAGTAGTTGTTGAACCAGTTACTTAAGAAACTAATGTAAGTGAACTTACTATATATAGGACGGTGCAAAGTTCCCAAAAAGGAAAAGTGAGGCGGTGCTAGAACTCTAAACAAATAAACTGTATGTTGGGATTTCGGGCTAATGAAAAAATCAAGAAGTCCATATATCTTCATCTACTTGACTTGAGAATGATCAATTCCCTTCGGCCACAAACTTTTCTGCTGTAATATACAGAGTATATTGTGAGGGTTGGAACCCATGATGGAGGCTCGGGCCATGCCCTCGCTAAGCACTGACCAAAGTCCCCGCTCAGCATTTGCCATTGCTCCACTGCTAAATTGGTTTCTCCTTTTCTACACTTTTCTACTCTATTCTTTTGACGTCACGTATTTGTCAAACAGTTTCTTGGAAGACTCCAGAAACTCTTCCTCTCTCTATATATAGAGGAAGAGATTGCATGAATGTAGTCTTCACGCACTTCTTAATTGAATATTCGAAACCACACCTTTGAGCTATTCGAGGTCTGGCCTCTCACATATATAATATTGTGAGGGTTGGAACCCATGATGGAGGCTCGGGCCATGCCCTCGCTAAGCACTGACCAAAGTCCCCGCTCAGCATTTGCCATTGCTCCACTGCTAAATTGGTTTCTCCTTTTCTACACTTTTCTACTCTATTCTTTTGACGTCACGTATTTGTCAAACAGTTTCTTGGAAGACTCCAGAAACTCTTCCTCTCTCTATATATAGAGGAAGAGATTGCATGAATGTAGTCTTCACGCACTTCTTAATTGAATATTCGAAACCACACCTTTGAGCTATTCGAGGTCTGGCCTCTCACATATATCATGTGTAATAAACCCCATCAGCGGGCAGTACTGTACCACTATACAGATAGACTTCTACCTCGTCAGAAACGCTTCGGGTATTCTTTAGAATCAGAGAGCAATGGCGCTTTTAAACTTTGCATGGAAAGCTAGGCAGAGATCATAATGTTATAAATACGAATTCCTAGGTATCCTAGATACTACATCCAAGGACTTTATTAGCGAATTAAATTCGAGTAGTTAAGTTGAGTAGGTGCTACTACTCAACTTAACTCGAATAGTAAAAACCGCTAATTAACTTAACTTGCCAAGTACTTGAGTAACTCGAGTGGTATTCATGTAGTACGAAATAGGCCGGCTTGAGGTCTAGACCGTCGGTCCAAACGATAGATTTAGCCGAATCTCTCTATAAGTTAAACATCACAACTTATTTGGTAATAAAAACATGTTTATAATTAGTTATATTTTTTTCAGGTACTATAATAGAACTAATTTTGTAAAGCTGGACACTATTACTTAGATCATATGTGAGAAAAGTCTATATTCCCCAGATCTGAGCCTTTAATTCGCTGGTTTAGCTGAAATCGGGGCTGAGACACACTATGATCAGCGACAGTGTCCAGCTTTAATTGTTCATCCCCCTTTATACTTCGTATCTACTTTCCAAGCATTTGAGACAAGTGGGTTAAAGCTTCCGATATTACTTAAAGAAGAACGGTCGAATCCTTACGGCGAATCGGTATGCATCCTTAAAAAAATACGGCTCCTCTGGTAGTGTGTAACGTACTTCATAAGGAGTCCGGATTTATAAGCAGTCCGGATTTTTTACCCCACCATCCAACTTTTAAAAACCATAGAACTTTAACCACTTAATATTTATTTATATAAACTATACTATCTTTCTTATTCTCGATCTGGGCACCTAGGAGCAGTATGCGCTAGTGATCTACATATACTACAGGTTCGTGGTGCACGAATTCGTGGTTCAATTAGCGGGGCCACAGCTTCATCCAAAACCATATTATCACTATTTTGAATAAGTTCCCTCCCTTCCTGACCTGTAAGAACACCCCCAGTAGCAATATATTGACGTCGCACAGTCTTCTTCTTCTTTTGACGTTCAGATTCAGCTCGTAAACGTCGATTTTCCTCTGCCAAAACCGTAGCTGATTGCATAGCCATCTTACACCCTTTAACCAATTGATCTAATGCAATAGCAGTAGGGCTTGAGAGAACGTTTGTACGTCGTTTAATAGATGCTTTAATTGTCTGGGTTTGCTGATCTGCCTCATATGTATTATGGGGTGTCTCAGGGACCCAAGGTAGTAGGTTTGGAGAAAGTAAAGGAGGAGTAGGCGTATGTAATTGAGTATGTAATTTACTCAATACTTGATCTGGGTTGTACGGGACAAGGCCAGTAGTTGCGAATCCATTACAGATTGTGTTTTTGACCATAGTACTTGTACGGGCTACACGATATATTGAAAGGAAGTCTGGTTTATCGATATGATATGTGCCGGCTCGTACTAGCTCCTCGACTCCTCGTCCATAAAGTCGCTTTAAAACTGCAAAGCAACTAACATCTAATGGCTGTAAAAGATGAGATGAGTGCGGTGGCATACAAAGCGTTATGATGTTATGTTCTGAACAGAAAAGATCGAATTCGGGAGTAGAATGACTACCATGGCCATCGAGGATTAAAAGTCGATATACTCCTTTTACACGGTCCTTGGTATATTTCTCAAATACGTCTGAAAGCCACTTAAGACCTAAGGAATCATTGGTCCACCCTTTATCACTAAGTGCAATTGTCCAATCTGCTGGTAATTGATCTGTATACCAAGTCGATATATGCACCTTGCCCTCAAATATAACCATTGGAGGCAACACCCATCCATCTGCACAAATTGATTCGACAACTGTAACCCATTCGCGATTCCCTGGTTGTATATGAATAGCCCGTCCTGTATATTCTGACCCTGTAACAACTTTTGCGGTCGCAATTACTCCCATCTGAAAGCCAGTCTCGTCGAAATTGTATATATCCTCCGCTAGTATACCATATTTCGCAACAATATTATGTACTAATCGAAACCAATCTCGGATAATCGTAGGATCCTCGCATTTTGCGCGCTTATAGTCGTATTTACGAGTGTATTTCGTCCGTAAAGAGTCGTGGCGCTTTATAAAGTTGTCAACCCAGCATTTTCCGACAATAATTCGACCTACTCCAGTTCGCTTTTCCAGTAGTAAATCGGCCATTTGGCGTATCGAATCTTTCCGTACTGGCAGACCTCTAGCTTCCATTGATAACATCCATTGTATAAGTGCTGATTCCTCGAGGTCGGTGAGTTTCTAGTTTCGGGGTCGGAATTCGCGTTGTGGAATAGCTCCCTTGACGCGGTCGTAAGTAGTAGAATATGGCGCATCGTACCTTGTACAAGCTGCTTTTAAGCTTGTAAATTGACCCTTATTGTATGCACTGATTGCAAGAGCAATTTGACCTTCTTTTCGAGACATTTGAACAATAATTGGGTAAGTTATGTAGATTTAAAGTGTGTAGGGAGGTCAATGGTGGGGTAAAAAATCCGGACTGCTTATAAATCCGGACTCCTTATGAAGTACGTTAGGGTATATCTTCTTATAAGGACTGAATCTGTGTTCGTCTAACGAATGAAATCTAGAACCTGCAGCATGGGAATGAATGGACATACACGCAGGACAGCCATTAGAAATCTGCAATATACCGTTGTCGAATCTGTTTCATTTCCAATTCTTCGGGCATTGGGTCTAGGAATTTGTATATCTCGCCTAGTTCATTGGGCTCACTTGCGAAGCCGCCATATACTTTCGATATGGCGTGTACTGTACCAGTCAGCTGTTTCCCAGTCTATTATTCCCACGATTCTTTCGCCGCGTACAAGAATATTCAAGCTGCTCAAATCGTTATGCGTAAAGACCATTGGCGGCGAAGCCTTCTCTTGCAGCACTATGAGCCTGCTAGGTTCTGGGTTTGGTTCGGATTTGTATCGAGTCCCCCCTCCCCTCCCAACGCTCTTTAGATGTTTGTGGGACTCGTGAACGCTATTGAATGGTCCATGCCGCATCGAAGTCCCAGGCTGTCGACAGTCCCATATAGATCTGCCATCGACGTTACAAATGCCCTGTCCTTGAACCCAAAGAAGGATTTCCTGGAAGAGCTTGTATATTCCACAATTCAACTACTATGTTGTTGAATTGTTGGAGTATCTTCGCCTTGGATTTTTCACCTCTTTTGCGTCAATTTAGTCCTAGCATTTCGCCATCTATCTTCTCCATCGCGATAGATGTCCATCATTTGCGAGTGAAGGCACAGTCTGCTTTTGGAACTGGTATTGAGGTGTTCTCTTGTATACATCGAATAGTTGACGCTTCTGCCAGGTTCCGAAGATATCCGAAGTTGATACATAGCTTGCTACAGATGAATATTTCACGGCTGCGAGAACGAGGAAGCGGCGCAGGCGGGTGTGGTTGATGGACGGCGACTCGATTGTCGTCTAGAAAGGAGGGGCTGCCATTGCAACAGACACTCGTCAAGTCCAATATAGCTGTCTCTGTTATGTGGCTGGATCAGGCAGTCATTGAGGTCTTAGCTGTGTTGTTATGACAGCACGTTGGATCTTGGAGGGGGTTGCCAAGGCCAGGTACGCCAAAGAGCCGAGTTTAACCCGACCGATTGACGACGAAGTAAGAGAGCCGAGAGAATCGCCAAAATTATCAACACTTGGATATTTGTCGTAAAAATTGTTCTGGCCTGGGATAAAGCTTCAACGTTTTCAGACTTGATTGAAATGAGAGCCGATACATTTCAGAAGATGAATGACAGAAGGCTGCAAGGAACAATATAGCCATCTCATTCTCGGCTCCCGAACTCCCTCCCCTTTTCACGATCCTGGCTGATGGGATTGGGACTTGGACTTGGACTTGGACTGTGCTGAACTCCATGCTAATAACCTAATCAGGCGTCTTCTCCATTACCGCCACGCCATAGGTTACAGAGGATCGTCGTCGTCGCAACAACATGGTGAAATTTTCCTTTTCGATAAACCTAAACTCAAAACGCTGCAAATATCGATAGTCAGCCACAACTCAGATCATGTGGAATGTTGGCTCAAGGGGATTGCTGCATCTATATCATATCTCAATTTTCTTTTCTGGATGAATGGCCTCATAGCTACGGTTTGCCAATTTGTAGATCTTGTCAGCTCCACTTTAGAGTTCTTTTCGGTGCCATATGGCCGGCCATTGGATACCGAGCTCAAAACTTCTCACCCTGGAAACGTGAAGCAACTGTGGCAACCAGGAAACAATCGATACAACTGTGGAGCAGCTTGTGGAGATATCTAGAAAGCCTTATTCCAAGAGCCTTGTCGAATCAACAAAGTCCATGATTCGCTGCTGCTATTAACAATCACTCTCCGAACAATCCGATTAATTCAATTGGCTTCAGTTCTTTTCCGCTATCGAATTGGTGGAAAGACTGTGCAGATCAGGCTACAAAAACCGGGTCCGGGTATTCCCCTGATGCCGAAGCTTCCTTTTATTACCCTGCTCAGAACCTCATTTTTTTTCCGCGGGCTTGAACTCTCCGCCAAAAGCATGTTTTTCCACTCCAATTTTTTGAATGGAAGCGTAGTAGGCCTCGCTGTTCATCTGGGCATTTTTATCCGGGGAGAATGGCACATGCAGGCGCCTAAACTGCTTTTCTCGCATCTTATTCTATCCTTAGTAACTTTTGGTTTTAATATTCGACTCTCTGGCTTCTCACCAATTGCGTGCTCTAATGCATATACTGTTCTTGGAGGCTACGTTTGTGGTCTTTTTTCGAGCATCTTATTGTACAGGCTGTCTCCTTTCCACCGGCTGTCCAAGTTTCCTGGCCCTCGTCTTGCCAGAGTTAGCAAACTCTGGCACGTGTGGCAATGTCGGGATTCTCGCAACCATCTGGTCATTGAACGTCTCCATGAAGAATATCCAGGTGACTTTGTAAGAATAGGTATCAGCTTCCTCTGAAATCGTTTAAAAATTATGGGCTCTTCCTAACTATACCAGGTCCTAGTGAGCTAGCTGTCTACCATCCTGACGGCTTAGATATTGCTCTTGGTCTTGGGACGAAATGCACAAAATCGGATTTCTTCGACATGATGTTGCCAAATTTCTCCTTAGTATTTACCCGGGACCAGGCAACCCATCATGCCAGACGTCACGTTTGGACCAAGGCTTTGAGTATGAAATGTAGGCGTTTCCCGAACATCCTGAAATACATGATCTTAATTTGCCAATCGTGTAGCTATTAAATTGTACCAGAATCGGATCAATCGACAAATTGAAGTTCTGAGGACTCAAATTCGCGAGTCTGCACTTGCCTGTGAAGAAGTTGTGATCAACGATGTCCTTTACTGGTTTACTTTCGATGCAATGGGAGAGTTCGCGTTTGGCGAGGATTTTGGTATGATGAGGGAGAAGAAGTGGCATTTTGCTATTGGAATGTTCCGAAGAGCACTTTCTCTGCTAGGCATGTTTTCCTCTGCCATGTGGATAATTCGAATTGGTTTCGAGCTGTTTCCCTGGGCGCCCAGAGCAAGAGATTGGCTTTCTATGGAAGCTTTCTGTCACAAGCAGATGGATAAGCGAGCTTCGGTATGTTTGGAGTCGTCCACTTTTGAGCTGCGTTCTAATTTGATCTAGACCAAATCGAGCGAAATAGATGTCGCATCGTTTTTCCTTGAAGAGGCAGAGAAGCTTGGAGAGAGTCATAGCGCAGCAAGAGACAAATGGCTCAAAGGAGACGCAACCACGGTTATAGTTGCTGGGAGGTAAGTTGATTGGTCAGCATCCCCATGTATGGATCTCAGCTAATTTCCTCCCAGCGATACAACAGCTCCATCGTTCGTTTTCATATTCTACTGCCTTGCCAAGTACCCCTTGGATGCAGAAAAGATCTACGAAGAAGTCAAAAACGTAGACACTCTTGAAATTGCTACTGTGACAACCTTACCACATCTAAACGGCGTTATTAACGAGGCGATGCGACTTTATCCAGTTCTTCCCACTGGAATATCTCGACTTACCCCTCCAGAGGGAGTTATGTTTGGCAATACCTTTGTTCCTGGGAATACAAAGCTTCTCCTCCCTGCCTGTGTGATCTCGAAACGTGAGTCTCACGAATCCAAAAAAAATGTAGATGTTAACGATAACTATGCAGTCGAAAGTGCATTTGTTCGAGGCACAGAATTCATCCCAGAACGCTGGTATAGCAAGCCTGAAATGATCAAGAAAAAGCATGCCTTTGCACCTTTTGGATTGGGTAAGTTTACTGTTCTAATTTCTCCTGCATACTCCATTTTGGACTTAGAGCGCTGATGGATCTCGATTGTAGGTCGAATGACTTGCGCCGGCAATGGCTTGGCAATGACACAGTTACGTTTGGTAACTGCAACGCTCGTTAAAGAATTCAAGATTAGCTTTGCGCCTGGAGAGGACGGAGTTCCTTTCCTGAGAGATATGAGAGATCAATTGACTGCTCAGCCCGGACAATTGAAGCTTTTGTTTCAAGAAAGAACATGAATAACATATTATGTACAGTAAGCAGCGGATAAATATTCATATCTCCAATAATTCCCTCCTGGTTGGAATTTCCCGAGTGACAAAATATGCAATAGCATCAATGCTAAGCTACAAGATGACATATATAAGTTTGGTAGTAAGATTTGTAAGTTCTTATACTGAGATTCGTAATCGACCAATTCCTGTGGTTGGCCAAGATTTCCTTAGAAACAAATCACTTCAGAAAGTATGAATTCTCTGATTGGATGTTTAGATATCTCACTATAATAATTTAAATTTTATATACCATACTCGAGGCCAACTATTATTATCACGTGTGTGTGAAGCATTAGAAATCAACCCACGTCGGATGCTGTCATCAACAAGCCACATCCCACGGAGTGCCGGTAGGAAGCACCAACACCAATGCAGCTGACTATATGTACCGTCCCATGGACGAACCAAAGATGTAATTTGCATCTATCAAGTACTCTAGTTTGTCCTGTGACTTTGGCTTTAGCAACACGAAAATGGCAGCAACCACCCGAAAACCTATCCTCATATCAGGCGCAGGTCTCTCCTCCCTTCTACTCGCGCAATCCCTCCTGCGCGCTTCGATACCCTTTCAGATATTTGAGAGAGACAGCTCAATCTCCTTTCGAGCACAGGGATATAGACTTCGCCTATCCTCGGCAGGTCTAGACGCCATTGAATCTGTCCTCGGACCAGAGAAATGGGCAAGATTCTGGGATACATGCGGGAAGACTGGAGGTGGTGGATTTAGTGCTATCAATGCGACGACAGGGGAGACTATTCCCGAGCCAATGCATGCGTCAGCAAAGAATGGGGAGGACAAAACCAACGTCTCGAAAGAAGTTCTTTCATCGCACGATGGAAAAATTGTAGGAATATCAAGAGGGGATATGCGCAAGGAGTTTATGTCAGGTTGTGAGCCTTTCATCAACTGGTCTCATCACGTCACAAGTTACGAGTTAACGCCATCTGGCGTTCACGCCGTCTTCGCAGACGGTTCCAAATCGGTTGAAGGGGAAATGCTGGTTGGTGGTGAAGGCATTTACTCCAAAGTTGCGAAGCAGGTCAGTAAGGGAGCCTTGAAGGTATATGACACAGGTGCGAGAGGAATACACGGGCGGGCACCCTCATCTGCCTTTAAAGGAATTGGCGAAGGTGTTTGGCGAATGATAGATGACACAAACCCCAAGGGAAAAGTGTTCGTGATTACCAACGTACGACCAGGCGAAATGGACGATCCAAGTGTCCAGTTTGGATGGACCATGGGGGCTAATCCGGGTGTTATCAATGCCCCAAACGATGACTACTCTTTGATCGGTACTCCAGCAGCTAAGATAGCCAAGGAGTTTACAGCAAATTGGTACCCGCGACTACGGCCCCTCTTTGATGAGATGGTTGAGTCTGAGGCTGCATTTTGGAAGATCACTTGCTCCACGCCAACTGGTGTTCCAGAATGGGAGAACGAACCCCGCGTTACTGTCATTGGAGACGCTGCGCATTCCATGACTCCAGCCGGGGGCATAGGAGCCAACACCGCTTGCAGAGACTCTGCGCTTCTGGGTAGGCTTCTTACTGAAGCAGGGGGGTACAAAGAAGGTGTGACTGCTGCATATGAAAAGGAGATGAGAGTTTATGGTAGTGAAGCGGTGGGTCAAAGCTATGGAATGGCGAAAGTTGGGTTTGGAATCTCAATTGATGAAAACACAAAGACTGTCTAAAACGAATGGAAGCATCAAATCCTCTATGCTGAATTAGAAGACCTCGAGAATTTCTTTGGAAGTCTGGCAGAAAGCCATGATCCACTTTATTAATGTGCTGGGAAGTCCCAGGAGGCCATTCTCTCTCTTTATTAGCAAAAACAAAAACAAATACTTCCTTTTCCAACTTTGGTTACCATAATCAACGCTGTCTTTGTCTGAGTTTAACTTCCAGCAAAGCTGAAGAAACCCTTGACTTTATGATTCTGCGTCATAAGTCCTATGGCCAATCAATGTATGTTTCTAGCAATTACAACAATCATGAGTAACGCCATATTATGGATCAAAAACAAACATGCAGAAGACTTATATTTGTTTGCCATTCGCTAATCATGATATACTTATGTGTAGGTTATTAGAGATTGGTAAGTCATGGAAAATGTACATACAGTGGCCTTCCTCCGAGACTTTATACTGAGGGAGTTGAAGTTTAGATATATCAAACGACATGGTTCTCTTACCGCAAACACTTGAATCTCACCCTCTTGTCATTGTTGGTCAAACCTCCTTTTGGTCTCTAGCATGTGGTTTGGGCACTCAATAGCCTGCCTCGCTTGGCCAAACATCTCTTCCTGTAGAATACGATATGCTTATAGTCCCCACACCTCTGCCCATTTTGAATTCGGGAGTCCACTTCTCGTCTATATTTTCATATAAAAAAAAATTCTGACTTGCTTTGGACTTTAAGCATGCAAAGTCTAGTAAACATGATGCTTTTATTATACTTACCAACATTATAATCATCTTGATTCAAATAAATAACAAACGGAGACAAGATCTAGGGTTTGACTTAGTTGGTACTTATCTTTCGTTTGAATTTGCTGTGTCTATAGAGAGTCCCTCATATCTTTATCATTGTTTATGAAACCAGTCTGTGAATATGAAACCAGTCTGTGAATATGAACTATTTAGTGAATATTTTAAATGTATTCATACTTGCACACCATAGGTTACCTTCAAGATCTTTGAGCTTGGCATCGGATATGCTCTTCCGGAGTTATCCCTTCATTTCAGCCATTTCCATTTCTATTAACCTCTTAAGATTGCCCATATCGGTGCACAAGGCTGCCCACATCCACATTCACATCTACGTCCACTTTCACAGTTCGGTTTCGCCAAAATCTATCAGCATGGAGCTTGACCCTCAAATGATTGATATATATAAGCGATACAAAGCTGGTACCAGCAAGGTGATGGCATGGCTCGCCAGCAAAACGCCAGAATCTATGCAAGACCGCTTTTCAAACGGATCTGCCAGTTCAAGTGGAGGCAGATTTAAGGGCAAGGAGAGGGCTAAGCATAAAGCGAAATCAGAGAAACTCTCTATCGCTGTAGCTAATATACCGATAATTTCCAAAGTCATTGCAAGCACAGCAAAAACATCCGTTCCTGATGATATCATCCAAACCTTAGAAGATGTCATTGTAGCTCGGAGTGCCTGTAACAAGTTTTACGAGTAAGTTTCAACATTTTAACATAGATATCGCTCCAGTCTTTGTTTTGGTTTCCGTACTAAACAATGCTCAGAAGTCAGGATTTTGCGAATCAGTCCACGAATCTTTCGAACCAAAAGCACCGGTACCTTATCCAAATCCTCAGCGAAACACTTGCGCTCCTGAAACCACTTAGCAGATCTACAGCCACAAGCACGGTACCCAAAGAACCGGACCATGACTTGAAGTCTGGAAAACATATTGGTGATCTTTGTAATCGTTTTGGTTTTTTGGAAATTGAAGAACCCACGAGTTGGACATCAACTGCAGTGTCGAATAAATCGAACAAGCCCATTCATGATTACGAGATCAAAAAGACAGAAGAAGACACCTCGTTCGCGATATATTGTCTCTTCAAGGACCTGACTGACATTCGTCACTACATTCGACAGACTGTGAGTAGCAAACATAGCACACTTCCACTCATCCTATACATAGCCATTACGAGATAGATGTGGTATTATCAGTCTACTGCTCTGCCGATAGAGGCAAGAGTCAGACACCTGACGTATTCCGCTTTATCTCTAGGCATCCCGTCTTCGTTAATGTCTACAATCTACTATGGAGGAGGAGATAGTAGTTGAATATTGCCTTTGCTAACGGACGTGCGAATTAGTGGGCAGAATATCGAGAACACTGTATCACTTTCACGACTGCTGCATCAGTTACGAACACGGCTATTGCACTATTTCGTCGCCTCACTAGAGAATTCGTTTCCGAATTCCCCCAGTTTGAGGACCATGGAGCAATCATAAATACTGCTCCCCGACCCCCCACGATAAGGATTCCCAGGATTTTGCGATATACACTGCAGGTGGGGTTGGAGTCAGCTCTCGGACATTGTTCTGCCATCTTACCTATGAAGTTTTGAAGAACTTCTTTATGGCAGCTACGGCGCCTTTCTATCAGGAAATTCAGGGCTTGAGTTTCCGTTTATTAGAAGAGGAGGAAATGGTTTTTAAATGTCTCTCATTGCTTCGCTTTCTAGCGATGGGAAAAAAAGGAGATTTCTACAACGACCAGCTTATCCATGGTCTGTATACCCTCAAGACAGAGAATCTCGATAAAAAGATCTACACTTGGGTGGTACTAGCGGTGCAGCTCTTGGTCGATGTTCACCAGGTTACTGGTCAAGGACTGGAACAATGTTCCAAGAGGCCCGAGAACTCCAAAAATGGATGTCAACAACCGTCAGACAGTCCCTCCAGTTCGATCAAACTAACGACTTTGTGAAACTCAATTCGAAGTCAATTTCATCTTTGGAAAAGCGAATTGATTCTGATTTGAAGGAGGACTTCATGCAAAACATGCTGTTGTTAACTTTTGGTGATCGTGCAGGTCAGCGTTTTTGGGGTATGTTTAGTTTTGTTATTTACATGTACATTAGACTTACCATGAATAGGCAAGTTCTGCCTACTTCGCAACCATCCCATGCTGTTGGGCCTGATTGTCCAAAGCCTTTTAGGAGAGATACATGGGTTGGGAATTACCATGTCTGGTGATCAGGGCGCAATTCTGACAACTGCTCACCTGTATAACGCATTGCAGCGACTTGGCACCATTTCGAAAAGCCTGGGTCAGTAAATGTGCCCTTTGTATTCCTATCCTCAGAATTTTGGACCTAACTCAAGGACTCATAGTTTGGACTGATGTTGAAAAATTGATCAGCTGGCAGGGGCCTTCTTTGATCTTCGTGGGAGAGCGTCCAGAGAATCCACGGGACTGCCTTGTTCGCCACGCTCTCGCTATAGGGATTAGTGTGACCGCGCTTTCCAGAGATCAGCAAGGGAGACCTGCAGCGCGATCAGCTAAGAATAAAATTCAACCAAAACTACCGCTATCTCCCGACAAACTTCGAAAACTCAAGCTGATGTCAACCTACTTTTGGCTGCAGAAGGAGGAGTACAAGGCGAAGGGCAGGTCAAAGGGGAAACGCTGGATCTTGACTAGAGCAGCAACCGAACCGCTCGTTATGTTGGAGATGCTTGTCGCAAAGGTTCTGAAAGAAGAAACTGTTACGACAACGAGTTCAAACTCTAAGCGGCTAACGCACCCGAAACTTGACCCCCTAGATATGATAATGGTCTTCAAGGACAGACTAAAGTTAGTAGAAGAGATCCCTCTCTTCGATATTTTGGCTTTGAATCGACGCTGTGTTGAACTTCTCCGGAAGTTTCAAAAGATTTGTTTAGACCAGTCGCCTCTGGATTATCCCGTTGAATTATATGGAGGAGATGGCAAGCTTTGGACGTGCGTTACTGGTATGATGGAGGGGGAGCTAGGTAAGGAGCATCAACAACCAACCAGAGTTTTCGAAGCATCTTCCCTGGTGAAGGAGCTGATCGAGAACTTCGGCGAGGAAGAGTATGGAAAGGCGAAATCTCGCTGCTTCATTACTGGAGATTGCAGCAAAAAGGTGGCGGAACCTTTCCCTACGCACGACGTACCTTTACTTTCCGAGAGGTTTATACTACGTACTTGACAAGTCATTCTCATAATGCCTTCCACTCTGTTAAATGTAGTCTAATTTGAGGGATCCTGAAAGGAGGGAAGCTGGTGAGCAAACTTTTGAGTTCTGGTTTTTCCTCTGATAACGAATATGATCTTGTATTTAAAAATCACTTCTGTGGCCACATACCCTTAAAACTGCAGATAATAATACAAGAACTCGTATATTTTCTTTTGAAGGCTTGTTTCCTTGTATTATAGACCGCAGAGAAAATGTGGGAAACTAATGAAGTGATAATTTCCAGGGAGTATATCCAGTAAAAAAATACAGAACAAGCAAAAGTACTTTCTAAAACCAATCTAAGAAATACTGCACTATTTAGCGCCAGTTCTCAATCTATTTTGACTTCTGGTGTTAAATACAATAGAGGTAAAACAAGAGCTGTTGCGAGAGAGGGAATAACTAAATAAAGTTTGTAAGGGTTTACTATCTTCTTCTTACATGGAAAATTACTTACTTGCAACAAATTGGAAGCTATGGCGATAAGCGAAGTGAACAACCTTTCGGAGTGTCTCAGGGACACTTAAGGACCCAGATCCATTGAGAATCTCTCGTATCACCTGCAGGTCATGTCAAATTAAGCCTTCACTTTGTGATGCTTCCGCGGTTCAAATTACTTACGTCTTGTTTCCGAGGTATGCTATTCAGCCAATCTTGAAGGGTCTTATTCAAAATCGTACGGAGTGTGACAGAGGCCGCTGCAGTCCCAATGATTCCACCTACTTGCTGACAGAGAAAGTAAATGCAAATCGCTGTGGCATGCATCGATTTCGGGGTACTCATGGTCATTCCGACGAATGTGCAGGTAAGAATTGCACCCATTCCCATTCCAGCTGGTAGAATATAAAAGTTCTCCCATCGGTATGGCTGATAGCCCCACCTTAGAGCAATGACCAGGTACACCATGGACGTAAACACAAGTGAAGCCATACAGAGAGTTTTGTATTTGCTGGTCCTGGATCTAATTTAAGTACAAGTATTAAGACTGGAGAAAGACTGGATTTACCTTTGAATAATGTAACCAGAGAGGAGAGACCCGATGGTAAAACCAATGGGTGAAGGGATGAGACGTAAAGCAGCAGCTGTCGATTTGAGGTCTTCAGTCCACAGAAAGTACGGGGCTATGGTTGATACATGCTGTAGAAATCAGCTCAGAACTCTCGGGGAAACAAAAAGAAACAGAAATCAAATACAGCTTCTCGTCCTAATACCAGGATCATCTGTGCAAGAAAGTATATCCCCGTGACAGTTTTCAAGAGACCCGGAGGAATCAATGGCTCCTTGGAGTAAAATGCTTCGAGAAGTAGAAGCACGAGCCCGAAGAAGACAGCGACACCCAACAATACCAAAGCAGTTTTTGAGTTCGAACCTTGCTTTCCAAACAGCTGGATCGATGCAAGTAAACTTGTAATTGAGATACTAAAAGCCCCGATTCCTAGGTAGTCAATATCTTTCACGCTTTTGCGTTCCTGGATTCGCCGCTCAGGGTTGTCTTCTGACTTTGTATCTGTCGATAGAATAATCACACAGAAAGCACAGCATGTCAGAGCTATAGGTACTTGACAAATGAACGACCTATAGGTTTCGATGATTGGTGGCTATTATAGTCTACAAGGAGGGGAAAGAGTTAGACTTACCATCGCCATCCCAATGCATCGGTTACAACAGCCCCTAATGGTCCTCCAAAAGCACGTCCAATGACATTAACCACATTTACATAACTTCTCATAAGAGCTACCTGATTAGGTGGAACATTTTCTGATACAAGTTTTAGTTATGGAAACAGTGGAATAAAAGGTCTGGTCTTACCAGTGATTATTACAGAGACGAGTGCGAGCATTCCAGATCCACCAAGTCCGGTGATGATTCTTCCAGCGATGACTTGCCACAGATGCACTCCCAGTCCCCTAAAGCTCATCAGTATTCCTGGTATAAACACGTCTTGAAACACCGCCAGAACATACGAAAGAATGCATCCCACGCTGAACAAACAGTAAGCTGTTACCAGAGGAAACTTAGTGCCGTAGAAGCTACTCATTTTCCCGTACTATTGGTATATTTAGCATTTTGATCCACACCAATTCTCCACTTTGGCATGAGCCTTGCTTACAATAGGCAGCGCGATACAATGGCCAAGATTATAGCCAGCTAGAACCCAGGCACTATTCGAAGTATCTTTGAAAGAAGAAGCTATCAACTCATATGTAACTTGAACGAAGGACATGTCCGCGCCTGCGATAAAGACACCTAAGAAAAGTCAGTTCTTATACCAATAGGAGACCAAATGACTCGCCTGTAAGAGCAAGAACAATTCCTAAAATTTTCCTCCATTTTAACGAAGCTGTGATGGGACTATTTTCACTCTGTCCCACCGAGTTTGACTCAATTTCTGACGCCGATATTGCTTCCGATGGGGCTTGCTCTCGAGATCCAATCAATGGACTTCTCTCGGTCGCTGCTACCATAACTTGATATGTCAATGGTGGATGAACTTTGGTACTGATTAATGCTGAAGTCCGATTGCCAAGAATCAGGCAGTTTTAAGAATGGAGTTTGCTTTAATGTTCAGAATTCAGCGGCATGTTGAAATTCCCTCGAAAGGGGCGAAGTGGATTTGGTACAACATGGTATCTAGCGGGAGCCTTGCTTGCTTATAAATGGGTACCAGACGTATCAAAGTACCCGAGAATCTTTAGCGCCACAATGTGGCTACTCTGGCTTTTCCAGAATATCGATCGATCTATCTAACCATCCCTAGAGTCAAGTGATTGGTGAGGAAGCAGGAACCGTAGGTTCACACAGGATGAGAGACAGCATACATCGTTCACAGAGGAAGATGATGATCAAAACCAAGATCCCAAGATTTTGACAGGTGTGAAACGACAACAGGAACAATCTAGCGGTATTTCTTGACGTAGGCACCCGCATCATGGCCGTCTCTTCTGTCTCTGAACTCCCTTGGTGTCACAAACTACCAAGAATAATATTACACAACTAGGTCAACACGCCAATGAAACGGTCATTGTCGTTGTGCTGCCTGCATCTCTCGAGTTACACTTCAAGTAGTTTTCAATCCCGAGCGAAGCTGTATCACCTTGTGCCTTGTGCCCCCCGCCACACCAGTTATGATGTTCGGGCTTAGAAAGCAGAAAAGTGGCATCAGAAGCACGTCATATATTTCAACTTGAACTCCAAAAAACAATAAGCGCAAATATTCAGTGAAAGCACATTGGCAGCGTGCAGAAGCTTCAAACTCGGGACTTTATTATATTCCATGAAAATGCCTCACTCAGAACAACAATGTGGTCAATACGAATCGGAGAATTGAAATCGGATTTTCAGGTGTAAGTGTTGCTTGATGAGTCTCTTCAAGGTGTGATTAATAGCATAGTTTGCTGGGGTTTTGATTGGGTGTCGCCGCTCGCTTGATGCTCGCTTAATTCAGCACCCCCTGATAAATCTGGCATGCTTCACCTCGCTCTCTTTTATTGGTGGAAAGTTTCTTATGTGTGATATACTTTGCTCCTCCTTCACTTGGGCCTACCGCTTGATCTATTAGAGATAATTCATTTAGATTGCCTATAACAAATGATCAGTCCCTGTCGATATTTCTAAACGGTTGAGAGAAATATGAAGTCCTTGAAGAAGCCAGGGTAGTGAGATGCCATTTCTCCCTCTGTTGGTTTCTTCACTGTGATGTGCTTTCCTGAAATCTAAAGTCAAAATTTGGTGGAAACGGAACGCTGAATATTGAAAATGAAATTGAAATTCAGTACTCTAGTCGTCTGTTCAAGTCTCAAAACAATTGTATTATGTTCAAACTCGACATGGATCAAAGCAAGCAAATCGTATCTAATATAACATACCCCATTTTATCTGAAGTAAGGCGAGTCAATACCCTTCTCCCTCGTCTCCTGAGCCCATTTCCAACAATCGAATTTGCGCCCATTCCTCCATTGCCTCATCCCGGTACTTCTGCAATATAGATACAATCCCAAAATATCCATTTTCTTTCGCAACTTTCAGTGCATAGCTATACCGCCTATTTAGAGGAAGATGTAGGTCTGCACCAGCGTTGATAAGGAATTGTACCATGTCTAGCCTTCCTAGAGCAGCAGCTAGTCCCAGCGCGGACTCATTCCTCTGACTTCTTTGAAAATTCACACATGCCCCTTTGGCTATCAGAACCCCTGCAACTTTAATATGGCCTTCAAATGCCGCAGCTTCAAGTGCTGTACGACGAAAATACTGACTTTTTTCCACACTATCTACAGCATTCACATCAGCGCCGTTATCCAAGAGAAGAATTACCAGATCTAGATTGCCTCTGCTAGCTGCAATAGCGAGCGCTGTTTCGCCGTTCCGTGAAAATTCGTCAACATTTACGATTGAGACCAAACGGTTGATCAAAGCGATAACTGTTGGATCTCCGTCTATTGTGGCTCGGATAACAGCAGTTTGTAACAAAGTGAATTCATAATCGATTCTTGGAGCTCTGATATCAGCGCCACAGGCCAGAAGAATCTCAGTTGTAGGATTCTTTGGCCAGACCAAAGAGAACTGCAATGGCGTCGGCCTGGAAGGTGTTCTCAAATTGATATCTGCTCCTCTATCCAAAAGGAGCTTGGTCATTCTGATGTCACCATAAAAAGTGGCGGTATGCAGAGCGGTGAAACATTCGTATCTCCAAAAATACTCGTCTGAAATGACGTTGATATCCGCTCCTGCGTCCAGAGTGAATATCACCATATCATGTTTCCCTTGAGATACTGCTTCAAAGAGGATGGGTTCGACGGCAAAACTGACCTTGTTCCCGTTGATATCAGGAATTTGTTTAACCAAATACACAAATATAGAGTCGCGTCGCGCGAGTGTAGTACCAAGGTGGATGCATTCATTTTTGGGCATCATAGCACAGTGGAGGATTGTGATTTTTCTGCCGCAGTGCCACTTATTCCAGAGCGCACCCAGAGGTTCAGTGCTCCAACCAATCTCAATAGGTTTCATATCCAATTCCACTCCCATTTTCACGGGGTGTTGAACTTTCTTTATATCACCTTTAAGAACCGCTCGTGGTAATTGCAATTTCATACATCTTTCTTTCTGGAACCGAGTAGACTCAAAATTTTCCTCGGCTCCTGCATGAACCAACAAAGAAGTAATCGCACGTCCTTCGACTTGTTCTCTTGCAACCTCGAGAATGGTTGTGTCATGGTCGCTGAGGGCCGCAGTGTATGGATTGGCTCCAAAATCTAGTAAGAGTCTAACAAGGTCGATGTTGTTCTTCTCTACTGCGACAAGGAGAGCTGTCCCTGGAAACTCAAGCATTTTACTTCCCATCGCATTGGGGTTTGCTCCATTTTCCAGAAGTAACTTAGTAGTCTCCATGTGTTCAAATTGTACCGATGCTTGGAGCGCACTCATTCCATCTCTGCCATGTGGTGGTTCATTGATGTTCGCTCCGGCACCAAGCAAAAGCTTAGCCATTTCAATCATACCTGTGGCTGCAGCAATATGTAGGGCGGTCCCAATGAAAGATAATATGGGAGGAAGTGACAGAGGCCACCAATCGCATGGATGATTCGGTTGAAACGGAGAGTCTAGGTTGGATCCCAATTTGCTCCCTAGAATAAGATAAAGAATATCTATTTTCCCACTGCAGACCGCAAGAACCGGCAGATTGTGTCGTTCAGAATCCGCACTTTGTGCGCCAATATTTATTAATTACTGGGCTAGTTGGAATTCTCCGCGTTTAATTGCGGCGGTGCAAGGTGACTCCGAACGATATATTTCGTCGAATTTATAGCCTGTAGCAGAAAGAGCTTGAGCAATGTCAACGGAGACACCAACAGTTTGGACCAAACATATGGCTAGATGAGATCTTCTCCCCGTGCTGTAGGTTTGAGACCCGGAAGCAAGTAGAAGTTCGACCATTTCGAGATTGTTTTGTCGAACTGCTTCGGCTAAATACTTGCTACAATTCGCAACATCCTCACGAGAAGTTTCTAGCTCCATTAAATCTCTCACTAGAAAGATACGGCTAGTTTCTATGGCGTATAGTAAGAGAGTAGACTGAAATTGTCTGAGTGTTGGGATTTTGGTTCGAAAAATCGCACTGAGACTCCGAGAAGGCATTCTATCGACAATCCATTGGAAAATGGGCTTGCAATCGTGGCGAAGGACCAATCTGTTGGAAAACAGGTACACCACAACTTCCAACATACATAGTCCTGCATGATAGCCTGGAGGACCCAACAGGATATCAACAAATGACTGAATTTCGCCTTTCTTCCTTTCCGGCATATTTGCTAGAAGAGATGGCAGCCTTTGTTGAAGCTCCACATTTGCGTCTAACCTATCTTCGTATCTTTTTGGGGGTATCAAGATACTCGCGAAGGATTCATAGAACCCATCAAAAGAGCCGTTAAATCTTCCTTCTGATGTTGAGTCTTGGAAAGATCTATCGAGGGAATCTCCAAAGAACAGCTCTATATCACGATCTTCTGCATGGACTGGAATATCGATAAAATAGCTGGGGAAATACTGGCCAGAATCGAAGAAATTGCCCACAAGTAATGGGAGAGAATCAATTTCTAAATTCGCTGCGGGTTAGCATATCTGAGACTTTATATAGACGCCGTTGAATCAAAACCCTGTGAACTCACCGAAGTCTAGTGACTCCATATAGTCTACAAAAACATGGAACGGAAGAGACGAATCCTTCATCACCGATACTGGTGGAGCTTTTCCAAGCGACGTAGACTGAGCTGAAGGCTCTCCTCGACGTCTTCGTCGGCGTGAATGTATGATGTCAGTGTCGCCTCTCTTTCGTTTATGGTTCATGAGAGGTGGTATGCTCTCCTGGAGAGCATACTTCTCCCACGAGTTATTGGGTCCAGGCGAAAGTATACGCGGGGTTCGAATGCTGATATCCAATGGGGTGGATGGACTTGAAACTGGTGGGTTGGGTCAGTAGAAAGTAAAAGGGTCTTCCAGTACTTCTTCTCACCTGAGGTAAATTTTGGAAGGCAGTGCCTGGATATCTCCTTGTTGACCTTTTTGGAAGGAATGACGTGGCCGTTGAAAATCACCTCGCTTGCTTTTCCGCTCTTCTTGCGTTTTGTGATATGTTTTCCGAGATACTCCCACTCGCTCTGGGTCAAATTCTTTCGCCATCCCCATCTTCTGAATTGGGTCTCGTACTGGTTTTTTCTATTGATTTCGTCAGTGTTCAAAATGTCGATGACTTGATGGTCGCCACCTACGAAGCATTAAAGCTGTGCTCCCGCTTCATTACTTCGCGAAGTTCACTGAGCTTCATGTCCTGCTTCATATAAAGTTGCTTGATGCAGTCATGATGGACTTCCCAATCTAACGTCATTCTGTCTCGCTAAGCTCTGGCAGGTAGCTTTCTCTGATGTTCAAATCTAATGAGGTGGATCGGTAAGAGAAGAAAATATCTCTTCGCAGCCTTACTATTTATCCCCTTCATTTCTATGAAGGCGGCTCGCTTGATGCCCAATGAATATCATTCAATGATTGGCCACTCCCAAAGTCTTCCTGCATAGGCTGTCTGCAGGCATATGCATACAGTGTTTGATCACGGACCCCTTCCTGTCAGGCATGAAGACCGCTTCTGAAGTACTCAGCGTTAGAAATGATTTGATTTGATTTGATTAATAGCACTTAATCAAATCAAATCAGACTAATATATCGATTAATCAAATCAAATCGCCAAGTAATCAGGCTAATTCAGATTAATACGGAGTCCGGTCGGTCCGAGACTCGATACCGAGTCTCGGGCCTCGGGTAGTACTCGGGGTAGAGTCCGGGGTAGTCCGACCTGCCTATATAACGTATAAGTAGAGCTTATAAAACTTTTATATTATAAGACTCTTCCCTTACTTTAGTAGAAGGCTTATAGTACTAATTATTTGTTACTACTAGTATAGAGGGTCACGTGTAATCATATAACTTAAATAGGAATGTAATAATAAAAGAGACTCTAAAGGCTATACTAGTAGTAAGTATAAAAAGCTAGGGGTATTTTATAAACAAGGACAATAATATACTACTAAAAGACGGGTTATTTAAGGGTAATTACTTTGTACTTTAGTTACTATTTATAGTATATATTAATTAATTAATACTCTGATTAACTAAATCGGTTAATCAAATCAAATCAACTAGACCTGTTAATCAAATCAAATCAATTCAAATCTGAATAATTCAGAGTATTAATTGATTAGTTGATTTATTTTTTCCAACGCTGGAAGTCCTAGGTAGCCGTAATCTAGACTCATATTAGTTAGAATCCCATTGTTCGTGAGACTCGGGATACTTTCGAACAATAGAGTATTTCTTATACTTCTTATACTCGGCTACTAGGGACAGAAAACAGTGTCTATATCTTATAGCTTTAAAGTTTAAATCAGTTCTTTTTCAATAAATTCAACACCAAGCATATAACTTTAATATAATATAATAACTAGCCTAAAACTGCGACTACGAGTATATTCTTTCCTTATCTCTATCAAACGAAACGCGTTTATATTATGGTCTATACACTTTGGCGGGTCAAGGAGCACTAGGGAGATATATTTTTATATTATTTATAAAAGCATGGGTAGAGATGTCCTTTCAAACTAGGGTGCCTGGGCTCGCTAGGGTAGAAATCCCATGTTTTTTCCCGAGCCTCCAAAGCTTGGGTCCCTCAAATAATAGCCGAGCGTTTGCCCCGCGATAGAAAGAAAAGTGGCAGCCTCTTTCAGTTGATCTGACTCTCTTTATTGACGAGAGCAAGCAACTAAGGTGTTATGATTTGTTGATACCGTTACCTTTGCACATTATTCTAGAGCAACTACGAATTATAATCCGCCTTAGCACTCATAGTCAACAATATGCAGGTGGCGGAGTTGTATCACGTGGATTGGGGGAGGGGAGCTGCCATTCACCCGGTGTTATACCGATCGGTTTACTGGTAGAAAGATCTAGAAATACATGGAGCTTCAAAAATCCAACGACCTCTCTCTCTCGAATTCTGCCGCAATTTTCGACTTTTGAACGCCATATACCCAATTTTCCTGCGACGAGTCCTCGAGAAAAGTACCACCAGCGACGCAAACATGGCAGACGAACTAAAGGCCGCCGGTAACAAGGCCATTGCTGAGAAGAACTTCGACGAGGCTATGTAAGTGCCATCCCGCGGCTCTTCCTATTCTTATATTCCTCGAGAGATAGCCAACAACGTCTCTCCGCACCGTTCGTTGGCGCATTTGCTGATTATCCACAGCGAGAAATTCACACAAGCGATCGAGATCGAGCCCACAAATCACATTTTCTATTCCAACCGTTCTGCTGCCTACGCTTCGAAGAAAGACTACCAGCATGCCCTTGAAGATGCCAATAAAGTCACAGAGATCAAGCCAGATTGGGCAAAAGGCTGGGGACGCAAGGGTGCAGCATCACACGGCTTGGGAGACCTCATGGGCGCATACGAAGCATATGAGGAGGGGTCGAAGCTGGATCCGAATAATGCAACAAACAAGTCAGGCCTGGCTTCCGTCAAGCGTGCAATTGATGCGGAGGCTAAAGCAGGTATTTGACTCTCTTTTCCCTGGAAAAAAGAATAGACTAACCAGCCTTCCTAGATGGTGTCACTGGCGACCCAACAGGCGGACTTGGAGACATGTTCAACGACCCTCAGCTATATCAAAAGCTAGCAGCAAATCCAAAAACCAGTAAATTCCTTGCAGATCCCTCATTCATGATGCAGCTTCAAAATATGAAGAACAACCCCGGCAATGCCCAAGCAATGTTCTCTGATCCCCGCATGATACAAGTCATGGGTGTACTTATGGGTGTGGACATGGACATGATGAGTGGTATGCCACCAGGAGCTGAGGAAGCTGGTTCTTTTTCGAGAGAAGCAGAGGAGGACGTACCGATGCCGGACTCTCGACCAGCAGAAGCTCCAAAACAACCTGAACCTGAACCTGAACCTGAACCAGAGGACGAGGAGGCTGCTGAGAAGGCAAAGGCAAAGGCTGCTGCCGATAACGAGAAGAAGCTTGGTACAGAGCAATACAAGAAGAGAAACTTTGATGAGGCCATTGCGCATTACCAAAAGGCGTGGGACACGTACAAGGACATCACCTACCTAAACAACCTTGGTGCTGCATACTTTGAGAAGGGAGACTACGAGGCAGCTATCAAGGCATGCGAGACCGCTGTTGAGGAGGGCCGAGAGATTTACGCTGATTTCAAGATGATTGCAAAATCATATGCCCGTATCGGAACATCATACGAGAAGCTGGGCGACTTCACAAAGGCTATTGAGAACTACCAAAAGTCACTCACTGAGCACCGCACTCCTGAAGTTGTCAGCAAGCTCCGTGCTACTGAGAAGAACAAGATCGATAGCGCCAAGAAAGCATACATTGATCCCGAAAAGGCAGAGGAAGCCCGTGAGCTTGGTAACGCCAAGTTCAAGGAGGCTGACTGGCCAGCAGCTGTAGCGGCCTACACAGAAATGACAAAGCGTGCACCCGAGGACCCAAGAGGTTACAGCAATCGGGCAGCAGCTTTCATCAAGCTTCTCGAGTTCCCAAGTGCTATCACAGACTGCGACCTTGCCATCAAGAAGGACCCTAAATTCGTCAGAGCATACATCCGTAAAGCACAAGCTTACTTTGGTATGAGAGAGTACTCCAAGTGTTTCGATGCTTGCACGGAGGCTGCGAAAGCTGATGTCACCAGAGCCAATGCTAGAGAGATTGAGCAACAACAACAAAAGGCATTGACTCATATGACCGCTGCAAGAGATAACGAGACTGAGGAGCAGACAAGAGAAAGAATCCAGAATGACGCAGGGGTAAGCTTACTTCACCATCCCAATGTGATTCAATGACTAACAAAGTACAGATCATGGAAATCATGCAAGATCCGATCATGCAGAGTATCCTCCAGCAAGCACAAAGCAACCCAGCTGCCCTCCAAGAGCACATGAAGAACAAGGACATCGAAGCAAAGGTCAAAAAGCTCATAGCTGCGGGTGTTATCAAACTTGGTAGATAAACAGAAAGAAAAGATGTGACGAAAAATTCAAGGTTAAGGTAATTCATGACTGGCGTATAACGAAATATTGGGAGGGCGAAATATGATGAGATGAGATGAAAACTTGGGTTTTACGCTTTTTTGACTTTTTATTAAGCAAATGAACGAGCTCTCTTTTCTTTCTTCTCGCACAGAAAAATCATCAAAGTGTACTTTAGGTCTTGCTGAGTTTAATTTTTAGCGTAATCATCAAATGCATTTGGTTGAGAATCAGATGTTGTTTATTTCTGGACTTTCTCACATCTCTCTCTGCTAGTCTCAACTTCTCACCTGAAACCTCAGGATATCCTCGCGATAAGCTGATTGTCAAAGGAGGGTCTGGCTCACCACCCCAGCAGCAGTGACCCTTCGCACGGATAATTGGACGTTATGCTGTTCAAGATAACATTTCTAGTTGCAGCAGATATACGAGGACTTTCATATTGTATCTTACAATACGTAATACATGATAAAATATAGCGATTCAGTGAATGATTTTCCGACGAACTGATCCATTGAAAATGACTTACTCACACCGCAAAAACAAAACTTCCTTTATCACCCAAAACACCTCCCTTGACGCCCTCAGCAATCAATACATACCCCGAACGCCAAAGAGCGATCCTCTTTTACTTTTTAAAGAAATTGGTGATTTTGGGGGTGCCTTTCGCTGCGCCTGTCGGTTTGGAAGGACTGGTTGTGTTGTTACTTGTTGCGCTCCTCGTCTTCAGAGTTGACTTTTGAGGAGGAGTTGATTTGTTGGTGCTTTCAGAGGTCTTGGAGGCTTTCTTTGGAGGATCTTCGTCCGGGATGTCATCGAGGTGTCGTTTGGTTCCTTTCTTGGTTTCTGGTTCTGGGATGGGAAGGGGAGCGTTGTCTTCTGTTCCTGTGTGGTCGACTGTTTTACGATCATCTTCGGGGTTTTCTTGCTTGATGTCTTCCTTTTTAGTATCTTCCATCTTGATGTCTTCTCGCTTGACATCTTCCTCCTCAACGGGAGTTGGTTTCGTTGTCGTGGGCGGTTTTGTGCTACTTTTCGAGTCTCCTTTTGCGAAGAAATTGGCGATGTTGGATTTGTTCTCGCTACTTGCCACGGGAATAATAAAGGTGGGTGAGTTGTTTCCTACCTTTCCTACGTCCTTGCTTACAGGGTAGCATTCTAGTTCTCCATCGAACGGCTTCAATAGACTTTGAAGTTCTTTTGACCATGTGAACCGTTTTGGGTCCAACCAGGTACGCACCTTTTCAGAGCCATTTTCAAGGATAACAGGCATGCGGTCGTGAAGAAATTTGAGCTGTTTATTGGAATCGGTCGTGATGACGGCATATGTGTAGTGTTTGTCATCAGAACCTGTTGTTGGATTTAGTACGCCCTCCCAAGAGCCAAGGAAGTAAATACCTTCGTATTGAACGCAATCCCAAAGGCCAGCAAAACACATCAATTGTCCGTCCTTTCGCTTCGTGTAATGGGGAATTTTCTCTTTGCCCTTCTTCAACCATTCGTAGAATCCTTGCGCTACCACTATGCAACGCTTCTTCTGCTTCATTGTTGTCCATATTCCGCGGTTTTCAATGAGCGAATCATCTCGGCAGTTTATTGTTTTCATCATTGAGCCGTAGTCGGGGGTTCGTTTCGTCCAAAATGGAATCAGGCCCTAATAAATACAATAATCAACACCGAGGCTCGCAGAAGAGAAGAGCATGAAGAAATTCTTTGGATGGAAACGAGGCAAGTTCAAAAAGGGGGCTTCGCTAACCCATTGCATTGATTGAAGTTTGTATCTAGTCTCTTTGGGATCATTTTCCGCTTCTGAAGCTCCTGCCTCTGGTCCATTCTCTGCATCTCCCTTGGCATGTTGTCGTGGTCCAGCACCATAGTCCGGAGTGTCGGCTCTATAAACAATGCCATGGTAACCTGGAGCGAAATTGTAGCTCTGGCGAGGTCCTCCTTCAGCATCGTCTTCCGGAGCTTCATGAACCGGCATATTCTCACCCGCCAGGTACGCTCGAACCTGACCTGGTCGCTGAACCATTGATTAGCAGCGTCTTGATCGAGAGAAATGAATGGGCTTACCAGAGCTAAACTGTAGCGGCCACACATCTTGAGAGAGTTGTTCACATATTATGTTGTAAGATTTATAAGTATAGGGACTCTACCTGATCTAGCTAGGTTATAGTTCGCGCAACGGCGTCATAGGTACCTAGGCTAATGCGGGATTGTGGGGTAGAAGTGGCGCGTAATCACGTGTAACCATGGGTTCGGTCTTATCGGGACGGCTTGGCGCTGAAATATTTCTGCTTTATTTTCCGCTGAGCTTGCGACATCGAACTTCTGAAGAAAAAGACCAGCAACTCCACTTCCTACTCACCACAACAAAGATGGATTCAATCGAGCTCCAAAGCAAGAAGCGCAAGAGGAAGCACGGTGGCTCCAAGGCTGCCAAAATCGATGGGCCAATTGTCGCCGACAAACCAGAAACCTCCGTCAAGTCCAAGAAGTCTTCCAAGACGAAGGAAGGAAAACCCAGCAAGAAAGTGAAGAACGTTCACGAATCGGACGATGAGGAGGAAGCTTTCGAAGACGACGCTGAAGACGAAGAAGATGAAGAGGTAGAGAATTCAACCGAAGAACAAGCCATCGAGGCCGCCGAAGAGGAGGAAGATAATGGAGGGGAGGAATTGGCCGAAGGACCAGTCCCAGGCGCCGGAACTCTTTCGTTACCAGAAACCGGAGAAGAGGCAAAGAAGTTTTCCGAGTTAAAGCTATCCGACAAAACTATGAAAGCGCTTGTGGAGGACATGATGTTTGAAACCATGACCGAGATTCAACGGAGGGGTATTCCACCACTACTCGCAGGTCGCGATGTCCTTGGAGCTGCCAAAACAGGGTCTGGAAAGACGCTTGCCTTTTTGATTCCAGCGATTGAAATGTTGAGCGCATTGAGATTCAAACCTCGAAACGGGACTGGTGTTATTGTTGTTTCGCCCACTAGAGAATTGGCTCTGCAGATATTCGGTGTCGCTCGGGAGCTCATGGCGCATCACTCGCAGACATATGGAATTGTTATCGGAGGAGCAAATCGAAGAGCGGAGGCTGAGAAGCTTGCCAAAGGTGTTAACCTTATCATTGCCACTCCTGGACGATTACTCGATCATCTACAGAATACCCAGGGATTCGTCTTCAAGAATCTCAAGGCCTTGGTTATTGATGAGGCTGACAGAATTCTGGAAATCGGATTCGAAGACGAGATGAGACAAATCGTCAAGATCTTACCCAAGGACGACAGACAGACAATGCTTTTCTCAGCCACGCAAACAACGAAGGTCGAGGATTTGGCCAGAATATCCTTGAGACCTGGACCATTATACATCAATGTTGATCACCAAAAAGAGCACAGTACTGTCGAGGGCCTCGAGCAAGGCTACGTAGTATGCGATTCCGACAAACGATTTCTCTTACTTTTCTCTTTTCTTAAGCGCAACCTCAAGAAGAAGATTATTGTCTTCCTCTCAAGTTGCGCCTGTGTAAAATATCATGCCGAACTCCTGAACTATATCGACCTCCCAGTCTTGGATCTTCATGGCAAACAAAAACAACAGAAGCGCACCAACACATTCTTCGAGTTCTGCAATGCAAAGCAAGGAACCCTGATTTGTACAGATGTTGCTGCACGAGGCTTAGATGTAAGTTCAATACCCCTCCGGATCTTTGAAAGCAATACTGACAACTTTTAGATCCCGGATGTTGATTGGATTCTTCAAGTCGACCCTCCAGATGATCCACGAGACTACATTCATCGTGTAGGTCGTACCGCAAGAGGCTCGAATGGAAAGGGGCGATCTCTTCTATTCCTTCAGCCTAGTGAGATCGGATTCCTTGCGCATCTCAAAACTGCTCGTGTTCCTGTGGTTGAATTCGATTTCCCTGCCAAGAAAATTGTCAATGTCCAATCACAGCTCGAGAAGCTCATTTCCCAGAATTATTATCTCAACAAGAGTGCAAAAGATGGTTACAAAAGTTATTTGCAAGCATACGCGAGTCACAGTCTCCGAACCATTTTCGACGTTCACAAGTTAGATTTGGTCAAAGTTGCGAAGGGATTTGGATTCACCGCTCCTCCAAGAATTGATTTGGCATTGGGTGCTAGTATGAGCCGGGACAAGAAAACTTCTGGAAGAAGACCATACGGAAGCCAGCCCAAACAAGGCGGAAGCTTCAAGAAGAGAGGTACTTAGTTAATGGGGATGAGTCAGCGGTCGTATCTTTGGGGTCTCAAAAACCACCTGTGGATTTTGATTGGTCCAATCCTCGCGGGTCTCGAGATGCATTCCGCTTACCTTCTAGTGTCGAAACGAATATGGAATATACCCCCGGGAATATCAACTGTGCCTCTGTTCTGTGAGATTCGGGATCATTGAAGTGGGCCATTATCCCGCAAAGGGGCAAAGCACCACAAAGGATGGAAATAAAATAGGAAAAGAGTTGTATTTAACGGCGCATTTGGGCGGCGTAAATGAAGGTGGAATGTTGCCTATTTGTTTACTTAAGATTATGAGAGTATAAGAACTTCCTCTGTATCCATTTCCAATTCACATATATTCAAACTCTCATATTCCTTCTTCATCCTTTGAACCAGTTAAACATCTTGCCAGAATGCTTTCTAAACTTACCGTTGCCTTTGCGGCTCTCCTTGGTGTTGTCGCTGCCGTCCCACCCGGAGGGAGTACCTTACCTTCAACCCTCATCATCTCAGTCGTCGACGCATCTGGCGCCGTCCTCGGTACGCTCAACGGCTACGGGAACTTCTCATCGCCTGGACCTAGCTATCCATACCGCGCGTATCCCACCACGGATGAGTATGCACGTATCACAGCCTACAATCGCTGTTCTGCTTCGGATGTTCTGGCATGTGGAGGAGGCACCGATGGGTCTTTCTACGTAAGCTGAAATCATATTCTTAGCCCATAGAGTAAGGAAATGAATGGAACTAATGCGCGAGTAGCAACTCGGAGGAAATGTCGTCTTGGATGGGACAGATGGGACGTGGTCGGTGGACGCGAGGACTGATGCTGCGGGTGGTGTTGACGCTTTCGGAAGACCATATGGGATTCCAGTCCATGTCGGGTCGAGCGCCGGGGCGATTCCTGTTACTTTGCGGGCTAGGGCTGCTAGTGGATAAATCCCTCTCTTTCCGAAATGTGACGCGTATTTTTGGTTTGAATCTTTTTTGACATTCGGAGAATTGATATTTTAAATGGTGGGCTTCCGGTGACAAAGTTCGGATGGAGAGTGGAATCCGAGTTGTTGGGTCTCGCTTGTTTCCTTCGCTTGTTGTCTCGGTCGTCCTGGGGCTATTCTTAAGCATTAGTGCCGCGAACGCTCCGAGCATGAGGGCTTGTCTAGATAAGACAGCTCGGGCCTTTCCGTCCACCCTCTCTTTATTTCCCGGAGAAACAATTTCGGTTATAATATACAGATTATTGCGAATCTATTTCTGATAGCACATATATTGATACTTTGTGAGAGGTTAGACAGCTCGGACTGAAACCCCCTTGTGAATTTTCTGATATGACCTTCTCAATATGAAATAGACAATCGTTTGGTTTAGAGAGCTACATTGTGAGGTCGAGCCCTTCCCATAGCACGGCACTGGTACGCAAGGAAGGGGGGTGGGAGACGCGAGCATTCTAGTCCCAATAATCTAGTCCACCGGTTAAAATAGCATATCATGTGACTCGAAACCAAACGCATACGAGGCCTTTCCCCCCAAGGAAACAGAAGCTTCGCACATCCCGAAAAGAACTACAAATATGGAAAGACAAAAAAAGCCCGAATGCTTGAAAGGAATACGGCAGATCGGTAAATCATACGAGCATGCATTTTTCCCAAGATTCCCCTTTTTTTGGAGACGGTGAAATTGTGCTTTGGGTTCTTGGGGCCCCGGAAAATAAGCTCCCCAAGAAGGCTTGGTTACTTGGTGTTGGTAAGTGGGGTGGACGAATCCTGGGTTGAATGGGCGAATTGCTAGGTAGGGCGTGATTTACTTTATTGTTTGGGGGACTATTGGATATGCGTGTATGGTTGTTTCCCTCTTTACAGGTTGGCTCGCTTAGGATTTTAACCTTCTCATGTTGGTTAGAGTGCACTAGAGGCCCCGTGAAGGATGGTCATGGGGTTGAAAGTGCCAATTTAATGGATGCGAGAGCACTGAATATAACAGTAGCATAGTATCAAATTCAATGTACAAGCAGTAAAATCCAATATGATGAGCGCAGTGGCCTTAACTCTGTATGCATCTGGGTTAGAATAATACTTCGCAAAAACCCTCGCATAACTGGATTGAATATGCGAATGCTTAGTAGTATATGGTCAGAAGTATATGGTTGGGAGTAATTGTCACTTCTCACATGTTATTATTGATCTAGATGAAATAGGGCAATTAAATTGTTTATGTTAACTCTTTTTTAGTAGGTTCTGGCAAGTGGTATTCACCACATGGAACAAGGAGTTTGTCTGGTTCCATTCGGTACGATTCCAGGAAGAACAAGGAGCACATGCTAGGGCTATATATAACCTGGCTCCTCCCCCAGTAGTTATAATGTTAGTCATCAGGATACAATTCTCATCCCAGTCATCCTAGCACTCTCGGCACTCCACACACAAACTCATTTCCACATTAAACTTTCAGCGTAGTAGCCTTTGATAGTGCGTATACAGAGTATCGACCAACTCTCTTGCAATGGACTTCGTACTAATGACCGAGTATTTTACTATACAAAGCTTGCGCAAAGTTAACACACTCCCACGACAACTCATCTCAACCAAAAACACAAAGAGACAATAGCGTGACGCACGCCTCATTTCAAATGGAAAAACCTAGGCTCGCTACCTGGGCTCATTATTCAGCCTCGTAAATAAAGAAACAAAACGTTTTAGCTTCACAACTCGGTCTAGGTGGATACGTATTGTACGACAGGTTACATTCGATACAAGCCAGGTGGGCGGCAGAACGATCAGTGTCTCGATTAATAACCAACTGCTAGAGGCCGGTTCTGCTCACTTAAGTATTACCATTGTTATTCCTTACTGAAGTATACGGAGCTGAGCTCTGAGACTTGTAGTATAGCTTCTTGTCTCGACCCAATAATATCGAAGGCGGACTCTCTAGCATTTCGGTCTGATGCCGTTGGTGCAGGCTCGACGGAGGAAATATCGCCGAAGGCAATTGAATCTGGAAAATCGGTTTGAATCGGGGCCCAAGAGTGGCGGACAATCTTCCGTTTCTTAAGAGGTTCGAGTTCTATTTCGTCGGAAATTACTCGAGAACCACTCGTTTGATGATGTAGGACGTAGCTTTGTAGGTGACATCAGTGTGGACCTCGTTCGATAGAGCTTTGTCCCCGCTCATCGTGTCTCCCTCCTTGTTGCATTTGCTGCGAAGACAGGTTGGATAAACGAAGAGCCTATTTACTATGGTGCTAGTTGTGTTTTAAACATCTAATAAGGGTAGTTGAAAATCAGGTATCAACCTACAGCTTAGCCATCTCGCGATCTAAGTGGACGAACAAACTCGGCACACTTTTCCGAATCTTTCCAGTCTGTCAATTCCTCAAAGTGATGTCACGAAGGTGTTGGAAACCCAATTGTTCAGCGTAAAGTTTTTCTTCCTGCCTCATATGTCTTTAATAGCTACAGGATAGGCCCCCAATGGAGCTCGGATGGAACTTTAATTCTCGTTGGCATCGAGCTTCATGGTCACGGTATCATAGTAAAGGTAATTTAGTTATGTTGCGATATCCTACTGGGGATGACTTGGTTGTTTAAATGACGTTGTTCACAAGCAAAGTGGTGACTGCTGATAGCTGCCATAATGATGATGTCGTTTGAGCCTCTAGTGGGCGTTTTCCCTCAATGGAGAAGTTGCAGATGTGTTTGAAAGAACGAGGGGAGATATACTGTTTATATTTACTTTACCAAGTTCGGGCCGGCCCTTGGTTGATACTGTTGACTCACATGATGGATCAGACTTCGAAAGATTCCATTCGATTTGTCAATCGACCTGATAGTTACTTCGGTGCAGTTCAGATGTCAAGATATGTTTGTACTGAGGAAATCCGCGGTGAACCCATGACAGAATTAGTATGGCGGGTAGTTGAGGTGACTGCAGAAATTAATAAGGTTTCTGCTGGTATAGTTTACGCTATACGATCTATCGAGAAAGTGAAATTGGAAAGCGGGAGTATTCCTTACTGCGAGCGGATCTGTACATCCATTGGGTGTCGGAAATCTGGAGGTGTACTGAATAACCTGTATAGCAAGTAATTAAATCGGCGGTGATGAAAGTATGTAATAGCCATGTATTGCTTATGATCTCGTGAAGTCAACTCATCAAAAGTCGGGCAGCTAACGGCCTCTATGGAGTTGAACTCTGGGCTCCAAGGATTCTTCCTCAATACAGTGCTGATAGACACGACTTGCGATTAAGGAATTTCGACACACCGCCCAGCGTAAGCGCGGTATCATATGCACAGCGAGCTCCCACTAGGTCACAACTATCCTTGCTGCCAGCGAACCGAGAAAATACTCGGCAGTTCTCTACAGGCAGCAATTGCTATCATATATTATGAACTTATGAGTTTCACCGGCCGTAAAGGAGCGATATAAAAAAATGCCCGAGCTTCGCGATGCTACATTTACGTCAGGCGCTCGAGTCGTTGGAGAGCTTCTCGTGATGGAGACCGTCGTAAAGTAGGCACGTAGGTACGTCAACAACGTCAACTACAAGTACGTACACTACGTAGTGACGTTTCGTCTGATACCCCTGGCCTAGTGGACAGAAACAATTCGGCACAAGGATCCCCGCCAGAAGGATATCGTTGACATCCTTGGGATTTTGGCCTCAAATTTTATTGGTGGGTTTTAAGGATATTCGCACTATAAGGATATCCTTAGGTTTTGCGGGTACTAAGATTTGATCTTTAGGAGAGATCGGATTGACGAATTTGATGTCTTTCAAGTAATCTTGCGAGATTCTTTGTCGATATCTAATAGTTTAGGGAAGAATCAGGACTTAGATACAATAACTACGCAATTCTACATATAGAATTGATCGTAAATGATCCCTAACACATAAATATGCGACCTTGTCATCGTCTATGCCATGGAACTCGCTATTAGGATATAGCCATCCTCGTCTACACACTTAGCATGTCTGCCCCTGACCATACCCTTGTATGGAATGTTTCCTGAACTGAAGTGTAAAATTGGGATGATACCCAGACAAGAGCACAAACAATGACAAGTCAGGAACTCAATAAGCTATCGACAAATGAGATCACAACCTGTGGCTATTATTAAAGCTTGACGTTGGGCGCTATTCTCGCATTAGATGCGAGCTTAATATCTACCGGTCCGATACTCGTAATCCCACACAGAAAGCCCCATATACCAAAGTAAACCCACCGTTTTCACTTTTAGCGGTATTTTGGGTGCAAGTAGCGTGTTCATAGCTCACGGCAATAGTCAAGTTAGCTATTCCCATCTATCTACCCTTATTGCCGCACCCTCACTGTCAGGTCCTCACTGGCGATGAGCGCACCTTTTTTTACGTCTCAAAACTAAACTTTGTATACATATTTCCAAGTGCGCGTCGAGGTATCTACCAATGTCGACATTGACAGCGGATTCCGTAGAATTAGAAGTATCTTTGCGCGGGGGTTACATTTTGATATGGCCACTTTAATTTTTTCACAGCACTCCGCGACGCAATGTACCCACTTTCCCTTATCTGGTTAGCAAAAAGCATTTTAAGGGGAGTCGACGAGTCAAATCGCATACTCGTGGAAATAACCCTGTCAGACCCCTTCTTTCATAAGGCTGAAAGCAAGACGATAACTTGGAGTGAGAAAGGGGGTAGAACTGTGAGGAAGAAAAAGGGATCCGGATCCACTCTATACTCAGATGCACCCAATTGAGACAAAATCGGCAAATTCCTTTCGTATTATTTCAAAGCAATCACCTCTTAGATCTTTATTTATACAGATCATATATATCAAGTTATTTAGAGAACCATACAATAGCGCGGCCGTAATGTCGGTATAAGCCTATGACTAGGAGAAAAGATTGGCTGGGATGCCGTACTCGGACCGAGTGCGAAGCAAGCTCAAGCTCCATTGCGAGTTGTGATTCCAGAACGCTTCCCCTCATATCGAAACAGATTTTGTTCATGGGTCCGGTATTTGCCATGCGGGATATCCTTGTGGATGTTAAGATCGGCAGCCCTTGTGTTATTGGCCGCCATCGAATTGCTTGTCTCTACCCACTCGTCATCTCTTGCGTGGCCCTCAGGCTCTTTCTACAGTCTAAGCTTCAAAGTCTAAAAAAACATGAGTTCTGGGTCAGGAGATTGCAGGTCGGACCGCAAAGCGAGCCCCCTTCAAGTAGCCAACAAGTGTGAACCTGGGGCCTTGTTGGCCGATTTTTGTTTATATCGTGGGTTGTCCCACCACTTGACATTGATGATACTTTCAACCAAAGCTTAACTATCAAATACCAAAACTCCAGAATTCATCGGCGAATACACATCTCATCAAGAGAGACATCACAACGCCAAGATGAATTTACCAGCGATCAAGTTCATCCTTGGGGCGATGGTCCCATTCGGTATGGCATTTGGAGCTTTCTGCATGCTCATCATTGTTGCAGTAGGAGGGATCGCAGGCGAGTCCTTAGGCCCAATATGGAAGATCAACCTAGTCGACCTCAGCATACCAGCTTCGGACTTCGCTACCCTCACAGGCATTAGTGCATCAAGCGCTAGTGCTATCACCAGAAGCAGTCTCGGACTGTCAGAGGAATACAACTTCTACTTGTGGAATTACGGCGCAAAGAACAATGGAGACACCGACTATTCCGATTCGGGATTCGATTATGTCGACGATATCAAACTCGATCCCATCACCGTCAACGGTGTCGCCAGCCCACTTCCCCAATTTCTTAAGGACGCTAAGTCAGGATTCCGTGATAACATCAGATTCGGGGAATATATCTTCTTGGCAGCAATCTTCAACGTCGCTATGGTCGTCGCTTTTGGTGTTCTGGCATGCTTTGGAATCAAGCTCGGCATCCTGATTGTCCTCGGAATATCCTGCATAACTGCAGCTATGCTCATCGCTTTCGCGGTATTGATTACAATGGCTGGGTCGAACGTTACAGGCGACCTCGAGCCATTCAAAGCATACGGGGCCAAGATTGAGAATGGAATTTCGGACGTGGCAATTTCATGGTTGGCTGCTGTCCACATGATAGTAGCCTGTTTGATTCTCGGCTTGCCACTTTTGGGTATCGGTCGGATGAACCCCGCCATCAAGCAAGCACCAAGGGATACGGGATTCGATGAGGAGAACCCAAGAGGAAGCAGCCATTCTATGATCAATATCAGAAACAAGTAGGATGGAGAAGGATTGGCGCATAGTGCGACATGGCATTGTTATAAGGCATTGTTGTGAGGCGTTTGGTATACATATCTTCTGGAGTAATGGCAGTTAGCGAGGTTTTTCTTTTGTTGGTCTGGAAATTTTAGAGGCGGGTTCGAGTAATGGACATTAGCTTTTTGTTCTGTTTTTTTAAGGGACGACGTCAACAGTGCAAAAGTAGTAGCACATGTTGACATTGGGGAGGATAGAAGAATGTAACAAATATAAGACCCGCCCACGCTGAATCTTCTGCTCGTTCTTGTGTGGTCTGCTGAATGCTTCACTGCGTGTCGTCTAAAAAGGGGGGAAGCGAACCGTTGGCGCTTGTGGCTGACGCTACTCTAGGACAGCACTAAAAAAGACCTGCAGGGGTCGCATCACAGACGTCACTCACCCAACATCGAGCTTGCATTCCCAAACGTCGAACTCCTCCCATGATGGCTCCTCGCTCCAGATCTCCCCGACAACTTCCCAAAACTCAATGTATGGGACAGAGCGATGACACTGTTGTTAGCTCGCACAACGCGCATACGATGGCACCCTCCGTATTCCACACTCCTCCCTTGGAATTCGATTCATGGCCAAACGGCGCATATCAATATCCTACTTAGTTCCTCACGACAACCCTTTTCAGTTTACCTACCTAGGAGGAGAAACCAGAATCTTCCAAACAAGAATGATCACGAAAAAAGTGCCGATCCGAGAATGCGAGAGCTGGGTCGGGCAATCGAAGATGATTTTGCTTCGTTAAGGGAAAAATATGGTACGAGTAACCTCAAACCAATTCCGTCGTCATAGTAGTTCATGCACTAACGAAACTATCACAGCAACACCCAAACATCCCATCGTCCTTGCACATGGCCTCCTAGGATTCGACGAACTCAGACTGGCAGGGAAATACTTTCGAGGCGTGCAATACTGGCGGGGAATCACTGATGCACTTCGTGCCAATGGCGTAGAAATTATCATTGCCCAGGTCCCCCCATCTGCCAGTATCGAGGAGCGAGCAGCCAAACTGAGTCATGATATTGCGGCCAAGGCAAATGGCAAAAGCGTCAACATTATCGCACATAGTATGGGCGGACTGGATGCTCGATACATGATATCTCAACTCCAACCAGAAAATGTCAATGTGCTCTCACTCACCACAATTGCTTCCCCGCATCGAGGATCCTCATTCGCAGATTTTGTAATCGATGAAATTGGTCCGGCTCATCTCCCTAGGATATACGATTGGTGCCAGCGTTTTGGCATTGGTACTGGGGCATTTCAACAGCTAACGAAGAGGTACATGCTGGAAGAATTCAACCCAAAAACACCTGACGATACAACTGTGAGATATTTTTCGTATGGCGCTACTGCCGACCCTGGTGTTTTGAGTCCATTTCGGTATTCTCATGGAATTGTAAATACTGCGGAGGGCCCAAATGATGGCTTGGTCAGTGTGGAGAGTGCAATGTGGGGTACATATAAGGGAACATTGGTCGGAGTTAGTCATTTGGATTTGATAAATTGGACAAATCGGCTTCAGTACTGGGCTCTGAAGGTTGTTGGAGTTGAGAGAAAGTAAGTTTTACGAAGGAAGACTCAGTGCCGCTAACTGGTTCCTAACCTTTTTTTTAAGGTTCAACGCCATCGCGTTTTACCTTGATATTGCTGATATGCTTGCCAAGGAGGACTTGTAAACAAAAGGAGGTACGGAGCTAGAAAAACGCTCTACTTAGATGGGTTTACAGAACGAAATAAGATACGTCACACCTCTTCACAGGCTGTGTTCTACTACGAATTCACAAGCGAATTTTCAAACAATTTAATTGGTTGCCTAACCGCCTCAAGCCCCTTTATTCTCCACGGTAAACAACAAAGTTATCTGCAACAAGCAGGTTTTCTTCCAACAACCTAGGAAATCGAATACTTCTAGTTCGTCCCAGACTCCCAGGAGAAACAATTGTAACTTTTCCAGGGGGTTTTACCCCTGATTCCTACCTTCGCCACCCTAGGGGTTTTACAATTACGCAATATTCCGCCTGGGATGAAGTACTTGCTCTCAATCCTGAAACTTCCAAGTGTACTCATATTAATCTTGATATGTTACTCGTAAGGTAAGTACTTTTAGTCCAAGCTTCGCGCCAAATTGCACCCACCACAGTCCAAGCCACATCTAGAGGTGATACTTTCCTCCCCGTACGACTTTAAATATGAGAAGCATTTGAAGAACTCTTGACAAGTCAACAGGTATGTAAACCCTGAGGCTTGAAATTACAAGTTTTCGATTAAGCAATGATTCTCCTCTATTCTGAAAATCTTCAACTTGGTATTCCAAGAAGAAAAAACCCTTAAACAGCAAACCAAACCCCAGTCCAAACCCCTATTATCCACAGCCATAGCCCCCTAACATCAACATTCCTCCCCGCGTCCCCAACGAACTCCGCGGCTGCAGCGCCTTTGCCAAGCACAACAGTGCTCGACAAGCTCACCGTCGTAGACCCACCTACCACCACCCCTGGTATCCCGCCAGAGCTTCCAGAAGCGAGAGATAAGGTTTGTCCCCCTACCACGATGTTGTCCCCTAATGTTAGGGTTTGTCCCGAGATCACTATTCCAATTTGCAAATTCTGAATACTGAGTTTTCCTAGGGAGCCAAGAGATATATATTGTCCTGTTGAAAGGGCAGGGAGAGATAGTGTCTGGCTTCCTACTAGAATGTTGCTACCTGGCTGAAGAGTCTGGGAGCCTATGAGGAGAGCGTTGTTGGTGTTTGTTACAAAGGAGGAAATTGGAAGAGTATTTTCTCCTATTATGATGGAATTTCCCGCTGAGTTCAGGAAGAGTGTCTGGCTGTTTATGGTGAGAACTGACCCTGGTTTAAGCGTTTGACCTGCTATGATGAGGGCGTTCGAAGAGTCTAGAGATATTGTTTGGCCATTTGCAACAATACTGGATCCTGGAATGAGGGTTTGTCCAGCAATCACAATTGCGTTTCTGTTCGAGCTCGCAACGATTTGAGAAATGGGAATTGTGTTCTCCGAAGCACCTCCTACTACAAGTGCTGCTCCTTGAGGGTTGAGAGAATACGAAACACCATTAATGAGAATGCTTCCTCCTGGTGTCAATATCAGCCCTCCTATTGCTAAGCTACCTCCAGGTATCGCTTGTGGTGCAGGTGTTATGGCAGGGCCAGGTACATCCGGCAGTGGTTGTGCGCCAACGATGCTGGCTATTATTGCCGCTTCTGGATTGGCTACTCCAACGGTTTTGATACCACTGGAATCAGCTGAAATTATGGCACCGCCCACCGTGATTGCTGGCGACCCTGCCTTGATTGTTGCGCCTGCAATAATATACCCGGAACCAGATGGAAGAACAACCACGGTTGGTGTGGAAGTTCCAATTTTGATAGTTGTTGTCACGGGGCTTGCCCCGGCAATTGGCAGTGGTTGTCGAGTTGCCCCTGTGGATGGCTCTGGAGAGACATTTTGAGTTTGCGATGCTGGCTGACCTGGGGGGTTGCTCACAGACTGCGGCGACGCCGAGGGGATATTCTCCGAATTTGAACCTGGCTGCCCCATTGGGGGATCATTCGATGGCAAAGATCCTCCCTGAGACGGGTTTGTCGATTGTGGTGCTTGTGGGGTAGTCGAAGGGGGGTAAATTGATGTGCCTACGCCTCCTGGCTGTGGAACCACGGTTCCTGAAGCTACTGTGCTTGGAGAAGGAGGTGTTGCAATCTGTGTTGCTGCTAATACAGTCGATGTAGCTATTTATGCATTAAGAGATTGTGATAATAGCAAGCGACAGATGAGAAGAAAGCCATGTATGTACCTGTAAGGACAGAAACACCAACTTTCAAGGCTCCAGCGCCACCGCCAATATAAACGCAAGAGGAAGGAACACCTAGAACCTTTGAGAATATAGAATACAAGTATGCATCTCCATAACCAAGTGCGTCGTTCATAAACGGGTTTGGATGCTCGTGGTTGAAGGAAAGCGTACTTGTAAGTGTCAATGGGGGTATTGATGACAATTCCGTGGGGACAGTTGCATAAAGCTTGCAAGATGGCTGTCCCTTTTCATCAATCGCCCATTTGTAGACTCGACAATCAACTGCAGCTACCTCTATTGTTTGTAAGGTTGGATTCCTATTGTAAAACAATACTATCTTGCTGTACAGTGTACTACAAACGTAAATCGAGGTAAGAAAATTACTCACCAAGATGTCGTGATTTTATTGAGAGTCTGAGTGTTCAAAAAGTTTATTCCTCCAACATAGCTACTTAGCAAGCTATAGTTTATTGTGTTGTGGTGTTCGGATACGAAAGTGAGGATCCAATAGTCTTGTTTGTGCCACGCTCAACGGTATATACAACTGTCGGACCCGTAGTGCTGAAGACTTGATCATAGGTCAGTGTGCCACCAATTCCTCCTGCCCAGAAGCATTGAGCGGGCCCTTCACAATAATCTCCTACTTTGTTTGTCGCTGTGGGCGTCGTAGAAGAATTCCCATATTTGGTAGCTCCTTTATTAAGTTAGCAAACTGCAACGCAAAAAAGAAACGTAGTATCTACTTAAGCCTGTGCAAAGCTGTCCGAAGCATATACTAAGAAAGAGAGATAACTTTCTGGTCATTTTGATTGCTTGAAAGCTTATGCTCTATTCCTTTTGCTGAGATTTTCGAACATTCGCTTAGGCTTTAACTCGGAATCCCAACAACAGAAACAAGTTTGAAAACGAATTTGCGCTTTCAAAAGAGGTTCTTACCGGTGGTAGTATCCGTAATATATGATCGAATGTGTCAAAACTCGGTTGTACATGGCAACGATTGTGCGAATCGCACCCGTAGTACAGTCATACCTTTAGTCCATATTCGGAAGGTACGTCGTATTCGTCGCAACAATGTCTATTTTCTATTCTTCGAGTAGCGAATCAACTCATTGTTCTAAGTGTACGTACTGCTGTGCCTTGAATCACATCGACTTCGCCCCCAAAAACAGGGAGCATGTAATATGGAAAAAGCACATGCTGCAGAGAACTAGGGCCAATGACGGCAATTATATGCTGTATACTGCACAGCTCAATGAACTGCGCATCCATTCTCAGTAAGATCTTACACAGCCTAATTCCACACCAATGAGAGCATATCGGTCTCGCTGTCTTGTCTGACAACCTCGGAATCAAAAGAATGAAAAAGGTTCCCTGCTTTTATTCCCTCTTCTCGAACTCTGAAAGGGCAATTATCTTCCAACTGGAGTCAATATGAAACCATAACTCAAAGCATGGAGCTACAAACTCGAGCAAACAAGACACCAGCGCCATTTTCATTCGCGCCCAGTCAAATCTTCGAAGGGAATGACGGAAAATGGTCAACATTCGCACTTCGTGTGGGGACCCCAGAACAAATATTCCACGTTCTCATTTCTACAGCAGGCCAAGAAACGTGGGTTCCAGTACCAGAAGGCTGTCTTTCGACAGATCCGAGTGATTGTGGAGCCCAGAGGGGAGTTCTTCCTTTTCGTAATCAACCAAGTAGTGGCTTCCAAATAAATGCAGTAGGTACAGTACAAGCAAAATATGTAGTTTTTAGAAGCTGATAGATGGAGCAGTCTTCGACTTGGACACCGATAAATCGATACGAGCTGGGTCTTGACAAGGAGTTGAATTATACAGGAAACGGGGAATATGGATTCGATACCGTAGGACTACAGGATTCGATACCGTAGGACTACAGTTACCGCAGAGTGGCGGCGTGTCTTCAGAGCATCAACTTGTTGCAGGTGAGATCCTCGGAAACCGGATTGCTATATATTGAAGCGGCTTGTTGACAACGATGCAGGTATCGCAACGAAAGATTTCTACCTTGGGATGTTCGGTCTCGGTCCAAAACCAACGAATTTCACAACCTTTAACAACCCCCAAGGAAGCTTTTTATGGTCAGAACGCAATCAAAGCCTGATCCCAAGTCTCTCATGGGGATATACAGCAGGTGCAAATTACCAGTTGACAAGGACGCCAGGGAGCTTGACACTGGGTGGATATGATGCGTCTCGATTCATACCCAATAACTTGACCTTTCAATTCGGTGCCGATGACTCGAAACCTCTGACGCTCGGTCTCCAGGCTATTCAGGCGACAAACACATTTCAGGGTGTTATGTCTCTACTCCCATCTGGGATTCTGACTTTCATAGATTCCACAGTCCCGGAGATATGGCTTCCTCTGGCAGTGTGTAGAATTTTTGAAGCAGCTTTTGGACTACAGTACGACCCTAGCACAGATAGGTATCTTGTCAATGATATCATTCACGCCGCTTTGGTCTTGATGAACCCCGTTTTGACCTTCAAGATCGGCTCCCCCGTTGACGGAGGAAACAATACTAATATAAACCTGCCATATAAAGCATTCGATCTGCAGGCAAGCTATCCGATATATCCAAACACGACCAATTACTTTCCACTAAGAAGAGCCATGAACGATTCCCAATATACTTTGGGCAGGAATTTTCTACAAGAAGCGTAAGCGAACCAAAGAATGGAGAACTCCAGCATCGTTAACCTTTTCATAGATATGTGATTGCGGACTACGAGCGCTCGAATTTCTCGGTTTCGCAATGTGTATTCAACGAAAAAACGACAAATGAGATCATCACAATAAAATCTCCGGCGGAAGTTATTGGCAAAACAGGTCTACAAAAGAACGCTCTCATTGGAATTGTGGTCGCCGCTGTGGTCTTTCTCGCGATATCATTGATTGGGGTGGTATTCTGGTTTCGCCGTCGTAAAAGTCGAAGACTCAAGAACGGAGAAAGTAGTGATCAGGTCTGGTTGGACAAACATAATACAGCAGAGGATGAAAGAGACACACCGGGTCATACAGGGCCTATAGAAGCTTCAGCAGATCACCGGCGGTTCGAAATTATGGGAAGAGAAAAGGACCTCCCAACACATGAACTACTTACTGTGGATCAAGCAACGGAAATGATAGGGAGAGATCGGGATTTAGCCCATGAGCTTTATACGGTAGACAAGGTCGTGGAATTACCTGCTGGTAGAAATGGAGCTTGATTGAAAATGTCAATGTTGAAATTAATACTCAGCCCGGCCTCATAAATTTGATAATTACCAAGTGCATGCAGTAAGCGAATGAATAGAACACGAACCCCTAAAATCCGTCTACCTCTCAGAGACTACTTAGCACGCGATGTTTACATTAATCTAGGAGTCAATGGCTTACTTTAGATCAGATTTCCAAGAACTCCATAATTATTTTGCATCTAAGCAACCTTGCGTCACTTACTTCATTATATCAATAGATAACTAGAATGTCGTAACAGGAAAATGGAGGAACCCCTTCCCCCCCCCCGTTGCCCCCCCCAAAAAAGAAAAAGAAAAACAAACCTTACCCACCACCATAATCTAACCGCTGACTCTCTAAGACCAGAAAACACCAAGTGTGCCTCCCAGCGAGGGTTCCCCCAAGTCCGGGTACATTAACCAAAGGGTTACCAACCGTTATACAAAGATTAAAGTATTTTACCACGAAACCATTGAGCTTTCAACACATCAATTTAGTAAAATTAATTAGATCACGAAGTTACTATTCCTATTTATTTATGAGATGGGATATAATATTCACTTCTTTCCCCAGACGAAGTTCGATAAGGTCAAAGAATACGTTAGGAAACTATAAGCGAGCTAGCTAGCTAGCTGCAAAAGTATACCCCTTTTCTTAAGTTTAAAAGTTAAATAAGTGAAAATTAAGAAAGTAAACATCTACCATCGACAAGATGTAAACTACTACCCTCACCAAGTGTCTACTCTTACAGAACTATTCCAAACCCTCATTCCTATCCTCCAGTATATAACAGTAAATAGAAATAGTTGTCAAGATACCAAACCTCCTTCTCTTATTCCTCTCCTAGGGGGGATTACTCAGAAGTTCATATAGTCTATAGGTCTATAAACGCTAATCCAGTCTCTTTCTTCTACTCACAGGACTTTATTCAAAAAGTAATTTCTTATTCTTCCCTTCAAGGTATAAAAAAACCAGCAAACAAATCAAGTCTATATAGCGTGAGAAATGATTAGAATAGATTAACTAACAGGGTCTTAATCTAAGTTATTCTAATCAAGAGGACCTCCTAATTATTGTTAATCGCTTGATTAGCTATATAATCTAATTAAATCGATTATACGGGCTAAACCCTCGGACGGGCGGACCGAGGCCTCGGAGGCTGCTCGGTAGGTTACGTACTAGCTAAGCAAGAGCCCGTTTCTTGTACTTGTCTTATCTAATTATATTCCTATAGAGTAGGAATAGGTCTAGGCCTAGTTCTATACTATATAATATACTATAAACTAATTAATTTATATTTTCTTCTCTATAGGAACGTTCCTTGTCCTTAATTATTAAATTATCTATTACATCTTTTCACTTATTTCTCTCTTTATTATTCTTTTAAAGGGCTTATTAAGTATATTAGTAGTACTTTGAAATATATACTATTATTCTAATTAATTAGATTAACTAGACGCCTCTTAATCTATTTAATCACCTAAAGTCGCTAATCTAAATCAAATCAATTTAATCATGATTTAGTTAATTACTAATCGATTAATAGAGCAATTCGTTCTCACGCTGAGTCCATATCACGCTCCTTTTCATAGAATCCTCCACCCCTCAATCCACCAACACCTCCCCTCCCCTCACACCTCCCATCCCCACAACCCCACAAAAAGCAATACCCTCACTCCACACACCATCAACAACACCACCTCAACTAAATCTCACAACCCCCATCATCCACTCACACACACCCACAAATCTCAATATCTCCAAGAGAAGCACAGTCCACAAAACATCTTCTCACCCATCACTTTCCCAATCATGCGCCCATTTACCATCGCACAACACCATAGGTGGCGCTTATAAACATCAAATGCATCCCAAATAGAATAGCCTTTCTATCCTCCTCGCACAATAAATTTACGCTCACAAACACAAATTTCGAATTTCGAATTTTCGGCGTGAGGTATGCGAATGCAAAGGATTTGTCCAATAAAAGTGTGATTGTAAATGAGGGAATATTAATGGAGATAGAGTTTTGTAGTTTGAGGTTTTGTTGATTTGATTGGAGTGGAGTGAAAGATGTTTGTAAATTGTATGCTGAACTTTGTACTTAGGGTGCAAGGGGTGTGAGAGGTGGTACAGTAGATGAGGGTTTTCTATGTGAGAGGGAGGGGGAAATTTGGTGGTAGGAAAGGTAGGGAGGGATTCGAGATAAATCAAGTTGCTAATGGGATCTTATAGAAGCCTCTTTTTCTCGGTGTTTATAGTGTAAGTTTATATACCTTCACAATTGTTATAATATAGAGAATGAGATGACCGGTGCGGGATATAAGAATATATGATCCCATATTAGTGAAACCTGTGGAACATCCAAGAGATTATAAACGGTATATAATAAAAAGAAAGAAATCTTATTCTAACTTTCTTCAAAGTATTTGGATATATTTGTTAATTCAATAAGAATGAGTATATTATAAATACGTATAGGTGCGGGTTGTGGTGTCGTGATGGTAGGATGGAAGATAGTGAATGGAAATGGGATTGGGATTGGTGTTTATTGTAGATTGGAGGGGACTTGGTGTTCTATTTGGTGGGGTAAAGGTATTGGGTGGGTTTAGTATCCTCACGACTATGGAAAGGGATTGGTATACACTAGCCTTGGAAGGCTGATTCTTGGAGTCGTTGAGGAGGTGAGATGGGAATGTAATCTTACTGTACTGTATATTATGTACTCGTAGATGACGGGTGAGAAGAATCATTTTGGGAGACAGGACAGGACTTCCCCTACCAGGCACGGCTTTCAGGTGAGGGAGTGCCATACAAACAAGAGCATCTTTATGTACGCAAACACTTTCAAATAGCACAACACTCTTATTCTCATCCCACATCATGAATCATACAAAAGCACATTAAAAAAGCCAAGGAAAAGCAGAAGTACGAAAGAATCATCACACGAAGCCGCGAAGCTATCAATTTCTCTGTCTAATGAATATCTAAGATACCAGTTCAATTCCCTCCCACCAATGCTGGTCCATTGTCGGACTATGTTCATTTCTCATGTTGTCGATCTTGTTCTTGTTTTGTCGAGAACCAAGAGAGAGGAGAGAGGAGGCATGTGCTGGAGATGTTCGGACCGTAGAAGAAGAGTTTTGAGGTGCTCGTGCTGAATGGAATTGGTGCAAGTGTTGTGTGGCGCAAAAGGGTTTTGGGGCGACGTGATGTTGGTGGTGCTGAAATTTGAAGGAGAAGTGGTATGAGATTGAGATGTGTAAAAATTCGTCCAGAGCATGAACAGGCGTGACACAATTGAACGCCTTGTCCTTGAGATATCCATGGTCAAAAGACCAACTTGAGACTGAAGCCAGTCCAGTCGTAACGTCCGAAAGATCCAAAGCCGGGTATCAGTGACACTTGTGAGACTGTGCCATGCCAGGTAAACCAAACCAATGCAGATGCAAAAGAACAAAAGAAAGTCTTGATGAACGGATGACCATTAGAAGGTGTACGAATTATAGGCTCTTCTCGAGCTCAACAAGTTCACGGAATCCCTCCTTCCATTTGGAAGACTCGTCTTGAGTTGGTCGTGGAAGAGGACTTCGACCATAACCGCCATATCCTAGCCAGCTCTGCATACCGGCTTTGGTGCTGACGATACCTCCTTGAATGGCAGCCCAATCGCCCCTGGCAACGATCTCCTGCATCTGCTGTGCTTCCGCAACCTTGCCAGCCTTAAATAAGCGGATGAGTTCGATACACGATTTGGGGGCGATATTGGCCAGGCCGGCCAGAATGCCGTGACCCCCACCAACGATGCTCTGCAGGGTGAAATCTGCGCTACCACCCAGTACCAAGAAAGGCGGGGTATTGTACGATGATGGCTTCGCGGATTTGGTTGCCGCCACGATTCGATTCAACTTCCCCGTATTGCCACATGTGAGCTTGACACCCACAATGTTTTGATGGGCCGCCAGCTGAATAATGACATCGGAGCTCAAGTCCATACCCGACACGGCGCCAGGGTAGTTGTATATGATCAGTGGAATGGGCGATTGGTCTGCAACCGACGTGAAATACTCAATGACACTTGCCGCCGATGGCGAGAAGAGAGGGGCATAGTAAGAGGGGGGAAGGACAAGTGCATAATCTCCGCCAGCGACGTGTGCTTCACGACAATATTCCACCGTCTCTCGAACCGATTGAGCACCACACCCCACGAGGACAGGCATATGTGAAAAGCCGGCTTCAGTGAGTGCGGAACGAGTTGTTGCCGTTACAGTAGAGCGTTCAGCATGAGTGAGATGAACCGCTTCTCCATTGGATCCTTGGGTGGTCAAACCAGTTACGCCAGCTTTGGCAAGACGAACCGCATGGCTTGCGATGGTAGCCGTATCCAAATCCTCTGTGACAGAGTCGAAGAAGCAGACCGTGGGGACATAGACTCCGGCCACCAAGGGCCTTGACGTATGCTCGTCGGTCTCCATTGAAGTGCTGCTGAAGGAAGAGCTGTACTGAGAGTCGTTCAAGGCCGAATCCGAGTAGATGCTGTTGGTGTTGCTGGACAGTCTCAGACCCGAACTTGGATTGAGACGAAAGGTCGACAGTCCTTGAGTGAAGCTGCCCGCGGGTGATGGTGCGTCGTTGTGGGGAGACATGATGGGCGAAGCAGAGGGTGAATTATCTATCTATCTATATATTTATAGATGGAGCGAGCGGACAGATTCCTAATCTTCTAGTGCTCAATTGAGTTTACACTAGTTCAATCTTGGGCAAGAGAGACCTGGTGAAAACCTGGGGTTTTGGTGCCGTATTGGTAGTCTCGGGAACCAAGTGGGGAGGAGGGGGAAGGTTAACTCTGAGGAGGATGATGGGCGTGGGGGAGAACCTTAGATGGAGAGACTAAGTACGAGTACGGGGGTACTTGGTGATAGGACCAATTGGCAAGAGGCAGGACAGGAGGAGGCAGACGCAGAGGCAGAGGCAGAAACGGAGCAGAAGATGATGGATATCCAGCAAGGAGCAGTCACTTTGCAAGGGATCTGGCTATCAGATCTTGGGGAGTCAGCGTTGATTAAGTAGTCTTTTTCTGTTCCTGGCGTGGCTGACAAAGAGCAGAACGGCTCCGACTACGGGTCAGTGGCGCTCATGACCGTGAGAGAGTCGTTCGTTCCTCTCTGAGCCATGATTTGCTGTTCCCGCTGGCTGGGGGCGTTTGCTTGGGTCCGGGGCTGAGCGGAGGGGGAAGGGGAAGGGTAGCAGCAATGCAATCGATGCTGCACTGGGGAGGAGAGAGGTACGAGGAGCTGGGAGAAGAGGGTAGGTGGTAGGTGGTAGGTGGTAGGTCGTGGTGACCAGCGCGCAGGTGGAGTCAGATTCAAGGTGAGATTCCAACTCCAACGCCGCCGTTACTGTAACGAGCAAACGCTCGCTCTGCTACCCTACGCCCAAAAAAACTCCCCAAGTCTGACTGTTAGTGTGGGGGTTGTGCATGGCCGACTGACCGCTCGCGTGGTATCGACAGGTATCGCTACGTTGGGGCAGCCTCGCTAATGGGACGAGGGGTAATTAGGGGGGTTAGGGGGGAATACCAGATCCATCATATGTTGACATGCATTTCTTCGTTTTTATGTAATTGAGGAGGCTTGTGACGCGCTGCTGGGTCTCCCAGGGCTGCTCTGCGGGGACCCCGTGGGGGAAGAAGTATCAATGTGCGAGCGCGAGTCTTTGCAAATTGCTACCAAACCGACATGTTCTTTTCCGGCTGAAAAAAGCGACTTTCCACTTCTCTACCAAGTTAAGAGCTCGGGCGATGAGGCTTGCCGCTGACGGGGGGAGGGGTGGACTGATGTTGGGGGTGGAGATGGAGATGAAGGTGGAGGTGGGGGTGGGGG